CCTCCACCACCCTTGCTCCCCTTGCCCTTGCTGTTGCGGCGTCTCCCGCTAGGGGCAGACGCAGCTCCGACCTCCTCGGTGCCAACGAGGTCGACAGCAGCAGCAGAAGCAACAGAGGGGAGAAGGGGGACAGGGGAACACCCCTAAAAGAAAGGGGTGCGACGGTCGCCGCGAGAAGCACCTACAGCCAAGATACTCTTCTCAGCTGCAGCAAGGCGCTCCTCTAGCAGGTCGACAGTCAGCTCGGTGGGGCAAAAGGAGAGAAAGTGGTCCCTGACTGAAGAAAGGGAGTCAGGGAGGCGGGTGACTAGGTAGTAAAGGGTGATGTACATGGGGGGGTTTTCTTGGCACAGAACTTAGTGGGAAGGGCAGCGCGGTAGCGGGCGTCACTAGTGCGAAGGTGAGCAACCAGGTCAGCGACTGTGGCAAAGGCGGCAAGGTCAGGAAAAAGGTACGGCAGCATGAGGCGGCTGAGGGCAGCAGTGGCAGGGGAGGAGTAGCGTGCAACTACAGCGTCGTACAAAGACTGAGCAGTCTTGTACTGGCCAAAATGCGCGCGCTCAGCAGGCGGCAGGTGACTACGAACAGCAAGACGAGCAACAGCGTCACGAGTGGTCCACTGCGAGCAAACCGTACTGTCAGCAGTGGCAGCAGGAGCAGTGGAAACACCGGACGTGTGATCGAAAAGGGATACCCCATCCCTAGAATCATACTGAAGAAAGAGCTGTAGGTCGTCAACCCACACGTCAAAGTCAACTGCACGTCCCTCAGCATCAAAGGTGAGAACGGTAGGACTAGCCATAGCAGCAGTAGGAGCAGTAGCATGAGTAGCAGCAGTAGCAGCAATAGCAGCAGTAGCAGCAGTAGTAGCAGAGGCAGTAGGGCAGTGCAAGGCAGTGCGGCTCGGTAGGGCAGTGTGGCTCGGCAGGGCGGCGCGGCTCGGCTGAGCGGCGCGGCTCGGCTGGGTGGCACGGCTCGGCTGGGCGGCGCGGCTCGGCTTACCAGAGACGGGTGCAGGGGCGGGCCGTGACAGCAGGGGCCGCGCCAGAAGGGGCCGCGCCAGCAGGGGTGGCGACGGCAGGGGGGGGCAGCGACTGCAGGGGCCGCGCTAGTAGGGGGGCGTGCCAGCAGGGGCCGCGCCAGCAGGGGCCGGCAGGGGCGCGTCAGCAGGGGCCGGCAGGGGCGCGCCAGCAGGGGCGCGTCAGCAGGGGCCGGCAGGGGCGCGTCAGCAGGGGCCGGCAGGGGCGTGTCAGCAGGGGCCGGCAGGGGCGCGCCAGCTGGGGCGCGTCAGCAGGGGCCGGCAGGGGCGCGCCAGCAGGGGCGCGTCAGCAGGGGCCGGCAGGGGCGCGTCAGCAGGGGCCGGCAGGGGCGCGCCAGCAGGGGCGCGTCAGCAGGGGCCGGCAGGGGCGCGTCAGCAGGGGCCGGCAGGGGCGCGTCAGCAGGGGCTGGCAGGGGCGCGCCAGCAGGGGCGCGTCAGCAGGGGCCGGCAGTGGCGCGTCAGCAGGGGCCGGCAGGGGCGCGCCAGCAGGGGCGCGTCAGCAGGGGCCGGCAGGGGCGCGTCAGCAGGGGCCGGCAGGGGCCCGCCAGCAGGGGCGCGTCAGCAGGGGCCGGCAGGGGCACGTCAGCAGGGGCCGGCAGGGGCGCGCCAGCAGGGGCGCGTCAGCAGGGGCGCGTCAGCAGGGGCACGTCAGCAGGGGCCGGCAGGGGCGCGCCAGCAGGGGCCGGCAGGGGGCGTCAGCAGGGGCCGGCAGGGGCGCGTCAGCAGGGGCCGGCAGGGGCGCGCCAGCAGGGGCGCGTCAGCAGGCGCCGGCAGGGGCGCGTAAGCAGGGGCGCGTCATCAGGGGCCGGCAGGGGCGCGCCAGTTGTTGGGGGCCGCGACGGGCTAGGGGCCGCGACGGGCTAGACGCCGCGACGGGCTAGGGGCCGCGACGGGCTAGAGGCCGCGACTGGCTAGGGGCCGCGACAGGGAAGGCGCGATGCGCGCTTCGGGCAGGGCAGGAAAAAAAAATCTAGTGGTGGGCCCTTAAAAAACGTTCCCACTAGGGAACCTGCTCAGAATACCATGTTAGAATGTGAGCGAATGAATGATGGAACTAGAAAGCAGGTGGGTACATATGGGAAACCTAAAAGTGTTGTACCCTGTAAGAACGACCCCACTACAGCCTAAACAGACTATGGAATATAAGTTTGACAATGAGCTGCTGCACTTGATCGACTCCACGTGGTCATGGAACTCGAAGGTTGTATTGTCACCAGGAGCGACAGAGGAGCTGTTGTTTTGGACAGTGCACTTCGATCGTTTCAATGGCGCCCCATTCCACCTGAGTCAACGTTTTGATGCCGTGATCCACGTCGACGCAAGCGCACACAGCTGGGGTGCCACCTTGGCCAAGTTCCCAAGTACATCATGCGAAGCAAGCGAGTGCATGCCACGAGGGCTTCTCGCCACATCCAGTACGCGGCGAGAGCTCGAGGGAGTGCTCTGGGCACTGCGGACATTCGCAACCCGGATCGTGGGTGCTCACGTCCTCGTCCGGGTGGACAACCAGGCAGTCATGTTCATCTTGCGCAAGGGGGGATCCCGTCAGGCGGATCTTACGTTGACATGCCAAGCGATCATCCAGTTCTGCCTCGGCAATACAACACGCCTCGCGATCGAATGGATTCCGAGAGAGCTCAACGTCCATGCGGATGACCTATCCAAGATGCAAGATTATGACGACTACTCCCTACATGCACCTTGGTTTCGCCTCTTGGAACGCCGCTGGGGGCCCCACACAATTGACCTCTTTGCTAACGTTCGGAACAATCACGTCCAGCGCTTCTGCTCCAAGATACCGCACCCCGACGCGTTCGCTGTCGACGCATTCTCCATCTCGTGGAAAGGCGAGCGATGCTTTGCCTTCCCGCCTCCACACTTAATTCCCGCTACGCTCTGCCATGCAGAGCTTACACAGACAGAACTCACGCTGGTAGTTCCCCAGTGGACCGGGGCGTCATGGTGGCCGCTCCTCCAACCGTCCACTCAATCGTGGGCTCCGGCAGTAGTAGAGCACCTTTCCCTTGCCCAAGGCAGTCAATGCCTTCGGGCAGGTTCACACACCACTGCATTTTCTGGTCTCGGATTGCCTCATAGCCCAATCATTGCTTTGCGTGTAAACTATGCAGTCTAATAAAAATTTATCAATGTGTCATTTCAGGACTTTTAACCAAACTACAGCAACAATTGATGCACATAATTAGCCACGTTCGCGCACCATCTACAATCGAGACGTACCAACCTTATTGGCAGAGATTTCGTACCTTCTGTACCGAAGTCAAGCTCGAGTTCCTACCGGCAACCGACCTGACGCTAGCACTGTATCTCATCCATGCGCTCAACAACAAAGCAACTCTCTCCGCGATCAACCTTACATGTTCGGCAGTAGCATTTGCCCACCGCATGACAGACGAAAACTCCCCTACCGTCGGTCCATTCACCCTGCAAGTGCGGGAGTTCGCCAAGAGACATGGTCCTCGACCTGCAAGGACCAAAGAACCCATATCTCTCCATCAAGTGCACAACATGGCCCGTCCCTTCCTTGAATCATCAATTCCGGCGGAATACCAGAAAGGATTGATTCCTCTTCTCATGTTTTCGGCATTCTTGCGCTACTCTGACCTCGTATCGCTCCAATGGAATGATGTACAGTTCGAGGAGAAGGCAATGTGGCTGCTCATCCCGCACTCCAAGACGGACCAGGAAGGGAGGGGTGTCTGGATCCCAGTGGCGGAAATTCCAGGCCCATACTGCCCAGTGAGGTGTACACGCAAATTCATACGCATCGCAGGCCTCACAAAGATGCCACATGGAGCGCTGATAAGGGTTTTCCCAAAGAACTCGCAAGCCACACCGAACGAAAACTCGCCATCCTACGTCACGATCAGAAACTGGTGTCTCGCGGCCGGCAGGCAGGCTGGACTGGATGTCGCGCATATTGGAACCCACTCATTTCGCAAAGGTGCAGCCACCGCGGCGGCAAGCCTCGGAGTTCCTGACCGGCTCTTCAAACGCATGGGCCGATGGCGCAGCGACAGCGCGAAAGAGATGTACGTTACAATCGCGCAGGATCAGCTCATCTCCCTCTCCACGCAGTTGCAGGATCCTTCGACGGCTCCCTCACCCGCCATGCATCAGCTATCAATCGAACGGCACCGCTAGCCCCGACTGCACTTGCCTCAGAAGACCCATATGAAATGATAACGCTGCCTTTGCAAGTCAGCCTAAGTAGACTTTCACAATATGTTAATTTTTGAAAGTGTAATGAAATGTAACACTTTCTAAAATTTTGTATTGTGAAAAAGGGTACGTGGCCAACACAGCAAAGGTAGCGCCGAAGCGCTACTCACCCTCTTTTGCCTACAAAAGAGGGACGTGGGGACATTCGTCCCCACCCACGTTTTCATTTCCGAAATTGTAGTTCTAATTTCCCACCCGCCCGCCCACCCATTTGTGTATGCTGTTATGTAGACATATATGACGAGAACGATGTACTACAACCCATATGAAATGATAACGCTGCCTTTGCAAGTCAACCTAAGTAGACTTTCACAATGTGTTGTTTAGCTGAACATCAATGTTCTTCTCATGATTCATTGTCACCCCCATCTCAACGTGGATCAATCGACACGGCACAGATGCTACAATCAGTACATGGTGTGCTCACATTGTCTCCCTCAAGCTAGCTGAAGAGCATGCGTTGCCCTCAATGTACCATCCTTTGTTCCAGTGTGGGCCTGCCCAGCTGCAAATTCACCCTCACCCTGTGTTTCTAATTCAGTGAATGGTAATCGAGAAAATGTACCACAGAAGGTTCAAAAGAGAGCCGGTGCTCAGCTTAGTATTGGGTATTCACGAATGTAGGTCCTAAGTAGGAGCAAAATCAATCCCTCTATTGACTGCCCGTCCAGCCTGCTTGAGGCCTAGGACTAGGACTGCCTGTTACACCATCCACAGCCCCTCACAGCTCGTCATGGTCCTCGGGCTCCTCATCCTCCTCCCCACCCGCCCCAGCACCGCCACTGGGCCCGCCACCCGCCTGGTAGAGTTTGGTCATGATGGGGTTGCAGGTGCCCTCCACCTCCTTGAGCTTGTCCTCGTACTCCTCCTTCTCCGCGCTCTGGTTGTCATCCAACCACTCCAGCGCCTCCTTCACTGCGCCCTCAATCGTCTCCTTATCCTCATCCGAGATCTTCCCGCCCACCTTCTCCTTGTCGCCAATCGTGTTCTTCATGTTGTACACGTACGTCTCCAGCGAGTTCCTCGCGTCCACACGCTCCTTGACCTTCTTGTCCTCGTCAGCAAACTCCTCGGCCTCGCGCACCATGCGCTCGATGTCGTCCTGGCTCAGCCGGCCCTTGTCATTGGTGATGGTGATCTTCTCGCTCTTGCCCGACCCCTTGTCCTCCGCCTTCACGTTCAGGATGCCGTTCGCGTCCAGCTCGAACGTCACCTCGATCTGTGGCACGCCGCGCGGGGCGGGCGGGATGCCCGTGAGGTCGAACTTGCCCAGCAGGTGGTTGTCCTTGGTCATGGCGCGCTCGCCCTCGAACACCTGGATCGACACCACCGTCTGCTGGTCCTGGTACGTCGTGAACGTCTGCGACTTCTTCGTGGGGATGACTGTGTTGCGCGTGATCAGCTTCGTCATCACGCCACCCACCGTCTCAATGCCCAGCGTCAGCGGCGTCACGTCCAGCAGCAGAATGTCTGCCGTGACGGGCAAGTAGGGTGCGGGGGAAACGGACAGCATAGACAGGTCTTGAGTCAACAAAGTTGTTGCACGTTCAGCTTGGTTAACCAAAGTACTCAAATTTCTTTTTCCCCTTCGTGAAGTTACTGACCCGCGTTTCACTCAAGGTAGAAGCAGCTGTAAACCCTTCATTTTACCGCACCCAGCCATGAGCCCGCATAAAGCCGTACCTTTGGTTTCGTCGCCGCCCTCGCCACTGAGGATGCCGCCCTGCACGGCCGCGCCGTACGCGACGGCTTCGTCAGGGTTGACGCCCTTGCTCGGCTCCTTGCCGTCGAAGTAGTCCTTGAGCAGCTGCTGCACCTTCGGAATCCTGCACAGTCCAAAGCACACCCACTCCAGTGCGTCAATGATCCGCTCGGCGGCAAAAACTAAAAGAAACGAAAGGAACAAAACCACAGAGGATGGCCAGAAGCGGTGTCTAACCCGGGTCAGGATTCAATCCAGTGCGCCGCACCTGGTGCTGCCGCCGACGAGGACGATCTCGTGGATCTCCGTCTTCTGCAGCCCCGCGTCCTCCATCGCCTTCTTCACGGGCCCCATCGTCTTGCGGAACAGGTCGTTGTTCAGCTCCTCGAACCGCGCGCGCGTCAGCGGCTCCGAGAAGTCCGTGCCGTCGAAGAGCGACTCGATCTCCACGCGCACCTGGTGCTGGTTGCTCAGCGCGCGCTTGGCGCGCTCCGCCTCGCGGCGCAGCTTGCCGAGAGCCTTGTTGTCCTTGCTGATGTCCTTGTTGTACTTCTTCTTGATCAGCTTGATGAAATACTCCATGATGCGCTGGTCGAAGTCCTCCCCGCCCAGATGCGTGTCGCCGTTCGTCGCCAGCACCTCGAACACGCCGCCGTCGATCGTGAGAATGCTCACGTCGAACGTGCCGCCGCCCAGGTCGAACACCAGAATGTTCTTCTCGCCGCCCTTCTTGTCCATGCCGTACGCGATCGCGGCGGCCGTGGGCTCGTTGATGATGCGCGCCACGTTCAGCCCCGCGATCACGCCCGCGTCCTTGGTCGCCTGGCGCTGCGCGTCGTTGAAGTACGCGGGCACGGTGACCACGGCGTCCTTAATCTTTTTGCCCAGGTACGCCTCCGCCGTGTCCTTCATCTTGCCCAGAATCATGGCGCTCACCTCCTCGGGCGAAAACACCTTCTTCTCGCCCTTCACCTCCACCTCCACGTACGGCTTGCTGTCGCGGTTCACGATCTTGTACGGCACCAGCTTCATGTCGCGCTGCACCTCCTTGTCCGCGAACCTGCGCGCAGCGGGATTCGGAGAGATTAGAATTAGTCAGATCGGAAAACACATAAAAGAAAAGCCAAAAAAGGGAAGTGTAATTTCGATCAGTACGATCAGGAGATTCACGAAGAAGATCGGAAGAACGAAGAGAAGGGCATGGAAGGCGGATGCTCACTTGCGGCCAATGAGTCGCTTGACATCGAAGACTGTTCTCTCGGGGTTGGACGCGAACTGGTTCTTCGCCGCCTCGCCGATGAGACGCTCCGAGTCCGTGAAGGCCACCCACGAGGGCGTGATACGGTTGCCCTGGTCGTTGGCGATGATCTCCACGTGGCCGTTCTTGTACACGCCCACGCACGAGTACGTGGTGCCAAGATCGATGCCGATCACTGTGCCCAGCTTCGGCGCATCATCTGACGGCACGAATAAAATATATATAAGTTACCAGATACTGCACCATCCTCACCACTGCACCACCACACCACTCACCCGACCAGTACGCAAGGCATCTGTTGCGGTCCGCCTGAGAGCCCTCCTCGATGGCTTTGAACGAGCGGAAGACCGGAAAGCCCACGCCCACCACCAGACTGGTGTGGGTTGGGAATGGAAGAGGTTAACAGGGGGGGAGGTGAGTATACTGCGTGTAAGCCCTTCCCAATGGCCTTGAACGAGCGGAAGACTGGAAAGCCCACGCCCACCACCAGACTGGTGTGGGTTGGGAATGGAAGAGGTTAACAGGGGGGGAGGTGAGTATACTGCGTGTAAGCCCTTCCCAATGGCCTTGAACGAGCGGAAGACTGGAAAGCCCACGCCCACCACCAGACTGGTGTGGGTTGGGAATGGAAGAGGTTAACAGGGGGGGAGGTGAGTATACTGCGTGTAAGCCCTTCCCAATGGCCTTGAACGAGCGGAAGACTGGAAAGCCCACGCCCACCACCAGACTGGTGGGAACGACAGAAAGGGAAACAACAGGGCACGACAGTGAGGGAAACAACAGGGCACGACAGTGAGGGAAACAACAGGGCACGACAGTGAGGGAAACAACAGGGCACGACAGTGAGGGAAATAGCGGGGACAAGAGGGGTAACGAAAAAACAAAGGCGAAAAGTTGGAGGAGGGGAGAGAGGCGGCCCAAGAGGGGAGAGAGGCGGGCCAAGAGGGGAGATGATGATTGACGGCACAAGGAGGGAAATCGAAGGAGGCGAACTGAAAGGAGGAGAAGTGGGGGAGGGGCGTGGAAGGAGGAGAAGGGAGGAGGAAGGGAAAGGAGATTCATACTTGGCAGCTCGGATGACGATCGACGATGAGCTGGCGGCCAGGAGGATCTGAAGCCCCACCTGAGAGGCGAGAGGGAGGGACGAGGGTAAGGGAGGTGAGGGCGGTGAGGGCGGTGAGGGAGGTGAGGGCGGTGAGGGAGGTGAGGGCGGCAAAGGAGGACGTCTTACCCCCCTGACTGCACCCTACCCCAGCTTCGTACCCCCCTGCACCCTACCCGTACGGCTTAACCCCCCCGCTTGCAGCGGTACACCCGAGCTGAACATAGCCATCGGCGCGCTTCTGTCCATGGCCCAACCCGTAGCCCTACCCGTACCCGTGCCGCTTACTCCCCCTCGCCCTGCTCGAACGTCTTACCCAACCTCCTTGCAGCGGTGAACCTGAGCTGAACAAGGCCATCGGCGCACTGCTAGCCTTACGGAGCGTTGCAGCTGGCGTCACCCTAGCCCCCGCACCCTACCCTTGCCTCTTATCCCCTTGCTCCCTACCACTTACACCCGGCACCCCACCCGTACGTCTTACCCCTCCTCCTTGCAGCGGTACACCCGAGCTGAACAGGGCCATCGACGCGCTGATGGCTAAGGGAGTGTCACTGTTAGTGTGAGGGAGTCTCGCTGCTGCTTGCGTCAGGGACTGCAGCTTCTGGCCTTAAGGAGTGTCGCTGTAAGAGCCAGGAGCTGTTGCTTCTCGCGTCAAACCAAGACTATAGCCTTAGCTGTAAACCCCTATAAGGCATGGCAGATCAGTAGCGGAATAACGAGCGAGCCTGCAAGTAGCGTCATGCACAAGGAAGCCATGGTGTGATGTGGAACCTCGGGAACTGCAGTTTCTCGGGTAAGGGGGTGTCCAGCGCGTACATTTTGGGGTTTTACGTGCCCATACACGTATGGAGGTTCAAAACGTATCACTGTACCTAAAAACGAATGCCCCGTGAGCAGAGTCCATTCCTCCTGTAATGTCTAGCGCGCGGACACAATTCCCCCCACACATTCTTCAACAGTGCCTGCACCAGCTGGAAACCTAGGTAACTGGTTTCCTCGTGAATGACAGGGCTGGCATTTTCGCTCGGTCGAACTTTCCACGACCGAGCGAGCCGCACACCAAAACAACCTGGCGGGCATCCAGCCCGCCCATGCGACCTGCATTGAAACACACACAACATTGGGAGGGCACACAATCCCTCCCATGCGCAAACGACAAACATACAAAACACCTGGAGGGCACTCCAGCCCTCCCATGCGCTCCGTCAAATCAACACAAATTCCGGGCATTGCATCCCTCCCATGCGCTCCCATCAAACCAACCCAAATCCTAGGAGGGCATTCCATCCCTCCCATGCGCTCCCGTCAGCCAAACTCACTTCGCAATTAATAGCAAACGGCCAGACATGCATCTATAATACGATGCGTTCTGATTTGGCAACTATCTCTCTCAGCGATGCCCATCATGGCAGCAAGAACAATTCGTATAGTTAATTTAGCGCACCAAGGCCTCGTCGCATGTGTCATCGCCCCTATTGGCAATGTGCTCGCATCTCTACTGCCCGCTCTGGTGAATTCTGTTGCTGCTGCTATGCGGGAAGAAGGAATCCTTCGTGATCGCGCTAGTGTGCGAGCAAGGTGGCAGACGCTGCTGAACGAGTTCTCAGACGACCTGTACATCGCCATGTTTCGTGTCGAGAAACACGTGTTCAATTTCATCGTTCAGGAGTGGCTCATAGCTCGTCCGCGGAAGTCAACGTTGAACTACACACATGAGCTCCGTGTCGCCTTGGGTCTGTCACGCCTTGCGCATGCATGGAGTTATCGCATGTGCGGTTTGCACTTTGGAGTGAGTAGGAGCGCCGCTGTTACCATATGTGACGAGTTTGAGGACTTTGTTCTCAAAATGTTAGGTCCCGATTGGGTCAAGTGGCCTGACTTGGATGACATGCCTGCTATGGCCCGTGAATTCCAGAGGCTTGGCGGAATTCCGGGCGTTGTAGGTGCGCTGGATGGGACATTCATCAAGGTACGCGGATTCGGGGAACACCGCGCCGACTTTCAGAACCGTAAGGGGTTTTACAGCGTCATTCTTCAGCTTATCGTCGATGCTCATGGTGACATCTGGGATTTCGATGTGGGCTGGCCTGGGAGTGTGAATGATGCGCGTGTGTGGAACAATAGTGAAGCTTGTGCTCGCATTGAAGGAGGGGAGCTACATGGCTATTGCCTTGTTGCTGATGCAGCTTACGGACTACGAGACTACACATTCACTCCCTACAAAGTAGACAGGACTACAAACCTACTCACAGACGAAGAGACAACATGGAATAAGCAGCAGAGTCGCGAGCGCATGATCGTCGAGCAAACAAACGGAAGGCTGAAAGGGAAATGGCGGATTCTTGACGGGCGCATGGAGGCCAACATCCGTAAGGTGCCCCGGACCGTGGGGGCATGCGTGGTGTTACACAATCTGGAGAACACGCTGAGCAGCCGCCCTCGCGCCGGTGCCCCTCGCGAAGGACACCGTTGGTGGCTTGAAGGTCCGGCAGCCGAAGCAGTCCACACCACGCCTGATACGGCCGCGTTTACTCCAGCTCTCCGTCGTGATCGGTTGGCCCATGGCCTCCATTCATCCTGGGCTCGGACTCACCCGGCCATGACCCGACCAACGACCGGGTAAGGCTCTCAAACCTATCGCATGCACGGTCCACAGCACTGTTTATGGCGCTTGCGATGCTTTCCGCCATGACCGTGGCAATTGCAGCCTCCGGGCCAACACCAATCAAGCCTGCCGTTGACCGACCATTGCTCTGTGTTGGTGATCCCCCTGCAGGAGGCGTCCCCGTCCCACCCGCGGAGGTCGAGGGGGACGCGGTGGGAACGGAAGGTGATGGCGTGGATGGCGAACCAGTGCCAGACGGCGGTGCGGTGGGCTGATTAGTTGTGGTTACTGAAGTCACCACCGCCGTAGTAGGAGTGTGTGGGGTAGGCGTGCGTGAAACAGGCCCGCTTGGCGTAACCGGGGAGTTCACATCCGTAGATGGAGTGCGCGTGTTCCGTCCCGATCCACCAGTCGTTGCAGCACGGATGGTGGCATCCACACTTGGGATGGTGGTGGTAGTAGATGCTAGAACAGCAGGCCTTGCACGAATAGGACCAACGTGCGTCACGGCTGTTGGGGTAGGAACTGGTAGGGGAGTAGGAGTGGTTATCATCGCAGCAGTCACACGGTGGATGGGCTGGACTCCAGGGCGATTGCCACGGATTGTCTCCATCAGTCCGTACCAGGAAGGGAAGTAGCGGATTGCACCGGCGCCAGAGCGAGACAGCCTGTCGCGGAGCTGTTTGTACTGCGCCTCGATCCTCAACATTTTGATTTTGATCGCCCCTCGGCTGAAGCGGAAACGGGGATGGCGCTCAAGCACCAGCGTGTGGAGTGCAGCCCAGTAGTTGGCACCTTGAACTCCGCGCATGAGATCCCAGTCAGGATCCAGGTCGACTCTGGCCTGCACCAGCTGAAGCATCTCTGTGGCCGTCCAGTGCACACGCGGGCTAGTGGGATCGTCCCTCGGATTAGTAACAGCTGGAGAGCGGACGAGCGGGACCCCTGCATCGCCAGAATCATCAACAACGGGCCCACCATCAGGAGAAAGGTCGAGGTCGCCTGCGTTGTGGTCGCTCTGGGCTACCTGCAGATTTCCAGCAGCGGCACTAACAAGGGAGGGGGAGGCGGTAGTGGTTGGAAGGGCAGGTGCAGTGGACTCTTCAGTCCCGATCTGGTTGTTGTTGTGCTCCATAGCGAAGGATGTTGAAAGTTGGCGGTAGATAGTGGATTCAGGACGGATTGTAAACTCAGCAACTAGTGTGATCAAGTTTGTAAGACTGGGGTATTGCAACACGAGGTGCCTCGTTTAAGTAGTGATTTGTTGAGGGAGAAAAACAAGTCGATGCATTTCTGCTTGGGGCACGTTAGCGCGCGACTTAGAACGAGTCGCCGTATGATCGTGGCCATTAAGAGCGAGACCCGCCGTATGTGACGGGCGCTTCGGCAGACATGAGCGTCATTGCGCATGCTTGCCCGTCGAATGCGCTGGGTAGGATTCGAGTTTACTTTGTTTGTGTCGGCGTGTTGTGCTGGGTTGGTAATTTTTCACTTGGTGGTGGGCTGGGAATTTGGTCTGCCGTGCAATGTTGTAGGCCAGAGCGCAGGTGGTTTCGGCGAGTGTCGCGCGGCACTGGCGAAATCGTGCCAGCCATACAGGGGGGTACTTACTGTAGCGGGCTGGACGCGGTTTTGTACCCTAGTACGCGCGCATGCTGCGTGCAGTTACGTGCGTCACACGACGCGAGGTACGTGCAGCTGGCGTACCGTCTCCTACACAAAATTTGGTCGTGTCCACGCATTCTGTAAATCACAGTGTTACAACTCCAAATGTGGTAACTGTATGGCTTTATGAGCTGTAAATGTACGCGCTGGACACGCCCTAACGCGGAATTGCAGTGGTTGGAATTCGGAATTCTGCATTCGCGCTAAAAAGCAACTCTAGGAAACTTCTGAGTTACACATGTGTGAAAGCCGCTGTAGGGTACATGTAGCATTCTTATTAGCGTCTATGCGTTATTACATGTGGCATTATTCAATTGCATATAGAGACTGGTTGGAATCCTACAACAGACCATCCCCTCCCAAACACAGCGCATTGCCACAACTTATTTTTTCAGAAGATGCATGAAGGCCATGCTTTCTGGTGTGAGCATTCAGTCTCCAAGCCCCATGCTCTTTTCTCAGCTCCACCGCCTGCAGAGGAGCTCATTCAGCCCTATCATCCCTCCAGTCAGCTCCCCCTCTCCAACTTCCCCCCACCCCTCCTCTCGTAACCTCCTCACATCCATCCACCCACCGCCTCCACTCATCTAACTCTCCCTCCTCTCACTCCTCCCGCTGCCCCCGCTCTCCCTCGCCCGTCCTGCAGCCACAGCAGTCCCAGCATCATTTCGTTCCACGAGTCCGGCACCCCTGGCAAGCAGTAGTGCCCGCAGTCAATGTTACCCCCGCCGGAATGCTCCCCGGGGTGCCCGTCCCACCGCGTTAACGACATCCCAAAAATGTCCAGAAGCATCAGCGGCGCGCCGTTCCCGCGCTTCGCCCGCCGCGCCTCGTACCGCCGCGCCACGTCAGCGAGAAGGACGTTGTACTTCGCCTCGGGATAATCCTTGGAAAGCGCGTCCTCCGCGCTAACCGGCTGCGTGGCCGAACAGCTGCCGTGGAACCCGTGCGTGGGCGGCACGAGCGTCAGAACTACCTGCTTGCCGGTACTGCTAACGTCCTCGAACGGGCGGAGGACGGAGAAAAGCGCGGTCCGGTACGCATCAAATAGCGGCACGTCGGCGTTCGGGCTCGCGAAGTGGATGTTCTTCCCCTGGATGCGCACCGACGACCACCACTGCCCCGCACTTATAACAAATATATCGTGTTCGTTATAGTGCCGGAACCACCAGTCGTCGGGATTCTCTAGGTCGAGCTCGCCGCCCGTGTTGAACACGTGCTCGTCGATTAGAGTGAGGTTCACGAGGTAGTGACTCCAATAGAACGCCACCGTGGCGTTACAACTCGGCCAGTGGTACACTTGCGCGTACGGATGGCTGCCCAGGACCTCGGGTTCGCCTCGCGTACCGAACATGATACACGCGAGCGAGTTGAAATGGTTCCGTACGATCGAGTCTCCCACGTAAGCGACGTTCCTGTTTCGCATCAGGTCGCACGCGCTCTTCGCCGTTAGTTGTGGCATCGCGTCGCACCCGCCGCCCGCCGCCGTCGCACCGTAGCCGGCCGTCGCATTATCGCGCGTCGGTCGCCACCGGAGCTTCTGGTACCCTTTATCCGGTCGCCCGTGCGCGTCGCACTGCGTCGCAGCGTGAATAAACGGGCAGTCGAGACTGGAATACAGCGGTCGGTTAGCATCCGACTCCCACATCCCGTCGCTGATGTCGCACGTCGTTGACACGTCGTCAGATCCCACTGCTGCACCAGCCGCATTGTCGCTCGCCTCCGCGGCGATCGCGGAAAGGTCGAGGGAGCGGGAAGCGGGAGTCGCGCGGGAATCGAACGAGCTGGTGGAAGCGGCAGTTGGGAAATTGGGAACCTTTGCGGCAGGTTTTGAAGAGAGGCGATCATTGGCGACAGCGCTGCGACTAGCGGCGACTGCGTTGCGACTGCGAGCTTCGGCGTGCATGCCGTCGTCGACGTATATCTCGACCGCGCCGATGGCGGATTCCGGTTGCTCGATAATGATGGTTCCCGATAGGAGCGTCTCCTGCTCCCGCACGCCCAGCTCGTGCAAGCCTCTACTGCGCGACGGCGCGGCGCGACGTGGATCTGCGGGGCGCGGAGTCGGCATCTCTCCTAGTTTTCTGCCGCGGGGGCTGTCGGTGGCTGGTCGACTTTTCGTGAAACTGGCAGCGTGTGATTTTAGGGCGAGCACGATGACGACGAGGAGAGTCGCGATTGGTGCGTGACGTGTTGCATGGTGTGGAGCACGATGCGGTCTGATTACGGTCATTGTGACGGTGCGTACTGCTTACTAGAAGTACCAGGAGTGAGTGGTTGCCCGGAATAAGCTACCGAGGAGGGACAAGCTACGATTAGCGCAGGATGTAAGAGGAGGAAGACGGAAGTTGGAAGTTGGTACAGAGTTGGGTGGAGCTTTTTGCACAAGGATACCTCGGCTGGGCTACGAGTGTTTGTCGCTTTTGGGATAGAGCGAAGGAGGGGTACGTAGCTCCACACTCACGATTTTCCCCCATGGCGCATGGCGACATTGGGCTTCAATTCAACCCAACCAGCTGGTGGTACTTGCGAGAGCGGCGACAGTATGCGAAACCATTTCGTGAGACCCCTTGAAGTGGTCAGCGAGTAGATGGAGGGGCCACTGAATTCGTTACCAGCTGTCGATGCGGCTGGTGTGGACCCTGTTTTCGCGAATGACCAGGTCGAGTCGCCACGGGGGAGGGGGACTGTGGGGTGGCGAAAATTGCATTCGAGAGGAGTGGCGAACAACCTGAGCTTTCTACGCACACAGATGTGCATGTGGGGGAAAGTGTGGCAGCGAGGCGCATGAGGGGAAATGGGTCAAACTCACATGGGTAGGATACACAAATGGTAGGCCGTTACGCTTGATCGGTAATGTTATAAGTGAAATCATGGGCTGCTAATTGTTTAGCTTACTTTCACTCACAACCATGCCAGTACCATCTCATACAGGCATACAACATGCTCTTGCAGTCATCACTTTGTTTCGTAATGAGGAGTTCATGAACTCACATACCAGCGTGCTTTTGTTGGCTGGCACTTATCACACACAGATCCATGTTTCTTTCATGGAGTGGTTTGAATGATGTAATCTCTTTGCTCATTCGAGACAAAATATGTATTTTTCACTTCAATCATTGTGCGTGCCATCTGCTGAGATCTGTTGGCATCCACGTCAATATTCTAAACATCTTGATTTGTAAACGAAGCCAAGGAGTTCTCTTTCGTACAGGTTTGGCATCATGCCAAGTGGACTGTGGTGTGGTGTGCGTGTAACTAACGTGCTACCTTCACATAATTCCCTCCAAACCTTCAGCAAGGTACTAAACAGACCAAACTTACTGCAAACACACCAAATTCTCAGCCGACTGGTTGTTTGGTTTGGCCTCACATCCATCTCACCCTCCCCTCGCCTAACATGTCAACAATCTCATCCCAATGGAAATGGCATGCGTCCCACGACCTCCATGTCATTGTGAGTGTTACCGCATGTCCTGGGACAAGCAACCGCCAGTGGCGGCGCAGAGAGGGCGTTGTATGCGTGGTGCCAGATGTGTATGAACGCACACACATTGCATCCAGCTGCCAGGGATTATATTGACTGTAGTTCACATTTGCATGATAAAGGTACTACAAATTAACACAACAATGAACATAATGGTAACAATATTTGGAGCAGAGATAAGAGAAGCCCATCCCGCTTCATCATGTAGAGGCAATCACTTGCACAATCGACACAGCCATGGCTGGTCCTTCTTGGTCTCCTACAAATGGACCCATGCCCGCATGGCACATGCTTTATTAAGAAGCCCTCATATGGAGGGCATGAAACCAATACGTTTTTTAATGGATGACCTGTGATGCAATGCAACTCTGTAGACATTCACTCCATTCCCCAGTCGCCTGCCCTCAATCCCGCAGTGCTTCATCCAGCACCCACAGCCGCTGCAGCATCATCTCATTCCACACGTCAGGCACGCCGGGCAGACAGAAATGTCCGCAGTCCCTCACCCCATTGGGCAGGAGCGCCCATCTTCCCGGATGCCCGTCGCTTCGGAACAGGGTCGGCCGAGCCTGATCCAGCAGCACCACCTTCGCCCCTTGCATTCTCCCCTCCGCCCTCTCCTTCCCATGCATCCGCGATACAAGCTTCCTCATGACCCCATTATAAGGCTCCATCGTCATGTAGTTCCTAATAAACCTATCATTTAGGAACCCCGTGGCGTTCATAGGAGCCGTGTGCGGGCATTCGCTCTTAAAGCCCTGGCCCGTGAAATGGGTCGCTGAATTAGTAGGAACAACTAGCACCTTGCCACGCATGCGGTCGGTCTTAAAGACCTTCAGTGTCATCTCCCAAGCCTTCTGGAACCCCTCGGCGACGGACAGATTCTGGTGGGGCGGCGCAAAGCGGAAGCCAGAGCCGTGGATCTTCTGCTCGGTCCACCAGTGACCTGTGGACACGTGGCGGAGATGGGAGACAGGAGGACAAAGTACAGATTAGCAAGGGTCAAATCTCCACACCACATCACACAATGATCAGCTAACAGCATACAGAAGTGGTTGTATGAGGGATTTTCCAGTAGTATTAGGCAATGAACGTGATGAGTATCATATATCATAGGCATAGACACATCCTTTTCCCTCATCTGTGTTTATAACGAAGATATCGTGTTGATCCAGTCGCCTCATCCATCGCTCGTCCGGCTTGTTTAAATCCATCACGCCGCCTCCCTTGGGCTTGCTGGGATCTTCCAGCGTCAACTGCACCATGAAATTCGTGCGATAGAACGCGAGGGTGAAGTTACACGACGGCCACACGAACCCGCGTTCCAGCCCGTACGACATGTTGATCCCCGCCAGATCCTCCGGCATCCCGTAGAATCCGTACATGAGACACGCGAGCGACTCGAACGTGTTGCGCGTGACGGAATCGCCTATGAATGCGATGCTCTTTCCCGCGACCAGGCTGCAGAGGGTGCGCTTTGTCAGCGTGGGAAGCGGGCAGCCCGGTGTCGTCCATCGGACGCGCTCAAACACGCGGTCCGGCCGGCCGTTTTTCACGCAGTTTTGATTCGGGTAGATGAACGGACACGTGGCGTCGTACAGCGGCCACGTGGGATCCACCTGCCACGAGCCGCGTTCCATGGAGCAGCTCGTGCGCTCCTTGGGATTGCCGGTACTACCACCCGCGTCCCCCTGCGACGACCGCTCCAACACCCGCTTCTTCGCGACGGGCGAAACGTCGGTTACCAGATTGTCGTCCAACGGAAGAAGAGCGGGTCCCGTGGCGCCCTCCGGCGAAGCGCGTGAGAGCATGACGTTGTCGGCGGCATCCGCGCCATCTACAGCCATGCCGTCATCGATGTAAAGCTCGACGCGCCCGACGGCGCTTGGGAGTGGCGGCCGTTGAATCGGCTGCGGCTCGAACACCGCCTGCTCGACCCGCTCGATATTCTTGACCAATCCCGTGATGCCAGCTAGACGCCGCCTCGCGACGTGGTGGTGAGAGGAGCCGGAGAGGGTTTCTGTGCGGTCTTGAGTGGATTCGCTGGTGTGCGATGTGGTGAAGGACTCGAGGAAGGAGGTGAGGGAGAAGGGTGTGGATGATGCTTCGGTGAATCTCAAGAGCGAAATGACGAGCGCTAATAGGAGTACTTGTGATGTTAGTACGGCATCGGAACGATGAAAAACGTGCGCCATTTGTGCGAATTGAAGTATCCTCTGAAGAGGTATCCTCTCTTCACATTCGGCTACCAGTGAACTAGGGGAACCGACGCGTTTATGCTTATCATAGAATTATGGAACGGCGCGTTAGGAGCCAGACGCACACTAGCGACCTAATCAGTGCGATGCTTGCTGCCAGTTCTGAAAGGAGAACCCGCAATCGGTCCGCAGATTTATTTGAACGAACAACACACGATGTCTTTCAAATCTATGGTGGTTTGCCGACTTTTGCTTATCATGGTCAGCGGGTTGGAATGGGTTGGGGTGATTTTCAGCCCACACTCATCACTAGTATGGCGTGGTGGTATGGTATGGCATGATATGGTTGGTGTGGGGCGGGGCCAATTTCCCCCACACGACAGCTCGATGTGCACATGCGACTCGCAGATTGTGGAACTGGCTGGCTGTGCATGCTTGGGTTGGGACATTGGCCAATGGAAGCGCGTCACGGGATCGACATCAAGGTCGATATTGCTGCGCTCTGATTCGCCTGGTTGCGTGGGCGCTGCGCTGATTCGGTGTGGAGAAGCGAGGGTGGGCGAAGAAGACCAACAGGTGGAACAAGAGGGCAGAGTGTGGCTGCGACAGGTAGTGGGCGGTTGGTGAAGCGAGCTGGATTGTTGGTGTGGTGGTGGGATGCGGTGGGGTGCGATAAGTTAAACTCACCATAGAGAGCATGAACTCGCCATAGTTTAGGTTAGATCAAACTATGAAAGTAGGTGCTCGTCTTAATCATCTGAGTAAATGGTAGATTCACCGCTGTATATATCTAACTGCAGTGAGAGGTCAAGCACCTAATTCTTGCAAAGATTCGACTCGTGGTATATTACATAATTGCACAAAGTATATGTACCGTACATACATGCCTTATTCCCTTGCTTTCAGCCACAGCTGGCCCAACAACATCTCGTTCCAAGCATCAGGCACACCAGGCAAGCAATAGTGCCCGCAATCCACCGTACTCGATCCCGTATACACCCCCGGGTGCCCATCCTGTCGCCACACAGACGCCGCATGAATATCCAAAACCATCGCATCCGCCCCCACCCAACCCCTCCTCCCCCTCGCCTTCCTGTAATCCTCCACTGCACCCTTCACCACCGCATTGAACCCGTCCATGTGCGAACCCGGACGTTTAACCGTCTGATTCCCGTCAAGAGAGGGTTTAAGCGGGGTAGTGTAGGAGCATTGATTAGAGGAAGGTGACTCCTTGTGGCCAGGCACGCTGGTGGTAACCACCACGAGCTTGTTACTACATTCAGGAGAGGAGAAAGCGGAGAGTGCGGTGTTAAGAGCGGTACGGTAGGCAGAGAGGAGGGAGGTGGGGGAGGCAAAGGAGGAGTAGGGTGGAGCAAAAGGGATGCCTCCTAGCCAGAGGCGCTGTGGTGACCACCAGTGGGCTGTGGGGGGAGATAGGGGAAGGGAATGACTTGGTCAGGAGCATTGAGGGAAGGGAATGACTTGGTCAGGAGCATTGAGGGAAGGGAATGACTTGGTCAGGAGCATTGAGGGAAGGGAATGACTTGGTCAGGAGCATTGAGGGAAGGGAATGACTTGGTCAGGAGCATTGAGGGAAGGGAGTGACTTGGTCAGGAGCATTGAGGGAAGGGAATGACTTGGTCAGGAGCATTGAGGGAAGGGAATGACTTGGTCAGGAGCATTGAGGGAAGGGAATGACTTGGTCAGGAGCATCGAGGGAAGGGAATGCTTTGAAGCCAGAGGCGCTGGGGTGACCACCAGTGGGCTGTGGGGTATGTGGCGAGAGAGAGAGCGACACATACAGGGAGAGAGATGGAAGAGAGACGGGGAGAGGTAATGAGATGGGCAGGAACATGGAGAGAAGGGGATGCCTCCTAGCCGGGGGGGCTGGGGCTACCACCAGTGGGCTGTGGGGAATGTGGAGACGCAGGGGGACAGGGGAGAGACACAGAAACATGAAGTCAGAGACAGGGAGAGGGAATGAGATGAGCAAGAACATGGAGACAAGGGGATGCCTCCTAGCTGGGGGCGCTGGGGTGACCAGCAGTGGGCTGTGGAATATGTGGGAAGGGATAGAGACATGGGAAGACACACAGAAAGTGATAAAGGGAGAGACACGGAGAGAGATGGAGAGAGACGGGGAGAGGTAATGACACGGGCGGCCACCAGTGGGTTGTGGGAAATGTGGAGAGGGAGACATGGGAGAGAAACGGGGAGTGGGATGGGGGGCGAAATGGGGAGAAAGATGGGGAGAGGCATGTGGAGTGGAGGGAGGCGAGGAAAGGAATCATCACGGGCAGGAACAGGCTGAGACCGTGGGTGGAAAAAACACAACAGTTTTTCCACATTGTTTTAATTGTCACATTCCTGAGCAGCCCAGCCCAGTTCACAAGAAGCTAGCAAGTGGTTTGCAGGTGCCCCTGCCCCTGACAGGGTCTCTGGTTGGCAGTGTGTTAGTCAGACTACCTGTGTTGATCACGTGATACAAGAGTTGTTTTGAGGCAAGTGGTTTGTTTACAGGTGCCCCTGACAGGGCCTCTGGTCTGGTTGGCAGCGTGTTTGTCAGACTACCTGTGTTGATCACGAACGCGTCATGCTCTGCCACGTGGCGGCCCCAGTGCATGTCCACGTGGCTCAGGTCCAGCTGGCCGCCCTTGCTGTGCTCGCCTGGCACTGTCAGCGACAGGTTGGCGAGATAGGCGCTCCTGAAGTTGGGAGGTAGGGGTGGGTGGCGGAAGGGGGAGGAAGGGGGAGGAAGGGGGAGGAAGGGGGAGGAAGGGGGAGGAAGGGGGAGGAAGGGGGAGGAAGGGGGAGGACGGGGGAGGAAGGGGGAGGAAGGGGGAGGTAGGGAGGAATAGTAAGAGCTGATTTTGGAGTTGACTCGAGAGTCGCCCTTGCTGTGCTCGCCTGGCACGGTCAGCGACACGTTGGTGAGATACCCACTCCTGGCGTGCACGACGGAGGTGGGAGGAGGGGAGGAAGGGGGAGGAAATGGCGGGGTACTGGGATATGCACTCCTGGCACTGCGAGCCACAGGCCGGTGGGATATGCACTCCTGGCACTGCGAGCCACAGGCCGGTGAGATATGCACTCCTGGCACTGCGAGCCACAGGCCGGTGAGATGTGCACTCCTGGCACTGCGAGCCACAGGCCGGTGAGATGTGCACTCCTGGCACTGCGAGCCACAGGCCGGTGAGATATGCACTCCTGGCACTGCGAGCCACAGGCCGGTGAGATATGCACTCCTGGCACTGCGAGCCATAGGCCTCGGCACTGAGAGAGGCCTGTGGCTCGGCACTGATAGAGGCCTGTTGCTCGGCACTGAGAGAGGCCTGTGGCTCGGCAGTGCCCAAGCCTCGGTGAGGTACGCACTCCTGGAGCATGCGGGAGTGGGGGGTTGTTGACGAGAATTCCTCCAGTTTCACAGCCTCTCGGCTACTAGCTAGTGTTTCTTTCTTACACCGTTTTTCCTACTTGCTTGAAGCCTAGATTCTAAAAACTGCTCCTCACTGGAAGATGTCTGTCGATCGGCTGGTGAGACAGGCGCTCCAAGGAGAGGGTGGGGGAAGGAAGGGCGGACGGGGTCTACCTTTGAGGCGCCTCAAAGAATGTCTGTCGATCTGCTGGTGGGATAGCCACGTAAAGGAGAGGGTGGGGGAAGGGCGGATGGGGTCTACCTTTGAGGCGCCTCAAAAGACGTTTGACGATCTGCTGGTGAGAAAGGCGCTCCATGAGCACCAGCACCTGCCCCTGCTGCCCCACGGGCACAGGGGCAACCGAGCCCTTCACTCCACTCCACTCTCTCTCTTCCCTTCCAGACCCTTTCATAAGTACAAGACTCACCAGTAAAAGGCGACTGTGGCGTTGCAGGCAGGCCAGTGCAGCACGTGCTCCTGCTGCCCCACGGGCACGGGAACCGTGTGTGATGAGCCTGCTTTTGAGTCGACTCAAAAACAGGGGAGCCATGGAAGCGGTGCAGCAGGCAGATGAGCGACTGTTGGGTGGACTCAGAAGTCATCTTGAGTCGACTCAAAAGTAGATCACAGGAACCGGGGAGCCATGGAAGCGGTGCAGCAGGCAGATGAGCGACTCCTACCCATCTCCTACCTACCCCCCACACTCCCCCCTCCTCCCCCTTCCAACCACGAGGCTCACCAGTAGAAGGCGATAGTGGTATTGCAAGCGGGCCAGCGCAGCACCCGCTCCTGCTGCCCCACGCTCACAGGAGCACCCGCTCCTGCTGCCCCACGCTCACAGGATCCGGGGAGCCCTCCACTACCCACCCCCCTCTCTCTCGCACTTCCCTCGCCCCTTGTTCACAACCATAAGCATCCCCACCGTACAAGACTCACCAGTAGAAGGCAATAGTGGTGTTGCAAGCAGGCCAGCGAAGCACCCGCTCCTGCTGCCCCACGCTGATAGGATCCGGGGAACCATGGAAGCGGTGCAGCAGGCAGATGAGCGACTCGAACATGTTCTCCGTTAACGAATCGCCCACAAACGCGATGCTCCTGTTCGCCACTAACGAGCACAAAGTGTTCCCGTTGAGCTTCGGCGCGGGGCACTGAGGTTGCTTGTATCGAAGCCGCTGATAGAGAGTATCCGGCCTGCCGTTTTCCATGCACTGATTCCCCGTGTGCCAGATTAAGGGGCAGTCTCCCGCCTTATAAAGAGGCCATTCCGAATCCTCCTCCCAGAACCCCTCGTTAGTGTCACATTGCGATTCCACAACCAAGCCATCCAACCCCACTTTGACATCCGTTAGCAAAGGGCCTTGACTAGTATCCGTGAGCACTGAAGACGCTAATAACGAGGATGGTGCGTCTTTACCGGATCCCATGCCATCCGCGACATAGAGTTCGGCTCTCCCGACGATATTCGCACGCTCTATCGGGTCGTCGCCTATCGTCGCACGCGAATCCTGCTGCGACGCTGCGACAGGCGGCTTCGGCTCTGCTTTCGCGAGGGACCCGGGAATGCGCGGGAAAATCGCGGCGGATTTCGAGTCGCCAAGCTCCCGCTGATTACGAGGCGGCTCGAAAGCAGATTCCTGCTGTGCGACGGATGGCGAATGACGACCCGTTGCGAAACCGTCGCCTGGGAGAAACCGTCGCTCAATCGAACCGGACGACGAAATTGCTCGTGCAAGCGACGATCGTTGCGCTGCAGTTTGTTGCGAGAAGAGTAACGAACGAGTTCGGTAATGCTTGAAGGAGAGGAGATTGCGAGATTTACGGCCTGTGGTGGATGGACGGTGGAGATTTGACGAGGAGATTGCGACGAGATGGGTGAGCAGTAGAAACGCGAGGAGGAGAGAAGAGCGACTCATTCTGCTGCCTAAACGGGGTAGCATAGTAACGAGAACAAAAAAGTTCCGCTCCAATTGTTCACCACACTATTCCGCTCCGTACCAACTCTGAAACATAAAGCACAGGCTTGTTCCACATCATCCGGCAACCTCGCACCGCTTCAGGCCGTTTGGAAGCTTCATTCCACACGCCCCTAGCGCGTCGTCGAGTCATACGCTGGGAAACTCAGCTGTGTGACCCCTACTTGCGCGGAGATAAGCGGTTCATATGTCAACTGGTGATCACAAAGCGACTCGTGCACTATGGCAACGGGTGGGGAGGATGCATACTCTTTTGTTGAACCTCGACAAGAGTCGCATCGTTTCAGTATATGATTTACAGAATACGGTGTATTGAATTTCAATTCCCAGAAGTAAGATGGGGAATTGCTGAAAGTGTGCACCCACCTGGGCAGGTGCCTGTCTACAGTCCACATATCTTCCTCACTCTTTGTTCTTACGTAGAAGTGTGCATGTAGCTCAAGATTCGCGGGATGCTTCTAGTGAACCCATCCAGAATCGTGGACATATTCTGTTTCGTGCATGTAACCCTTCGTGAACGTGCTCGCCTGAATTCGCATACAGCCTAGCACCACCACACAGCTGCTGCTCTGGACCAGAGCAACCCCCCTCCCCATGCCATGTCGCGCCGCGGCGCGTGGTGTGGTTGCCGTCATTCAACCGACTAGCGCCGCCGTCTGCAAGTAGTTGCCGAGCTACTCTACTGTACAGTACCTCACCTCACCTTCCTCGTTGGAAAGCGCGCCCTCCTTGCTGTCCCGTCCATAGATGTCATCTAACGAGTCATTATCTCACGCACCATTTTCGATGCTCTTAGCCGTCTCGTTTTCGTGAATCGGCGAGCAGAGAGGAAGGGAAGATTAATCCAACAGCACGGCAGCGGAAGGCGTGCTTGCCGGGTGGATTGCGAATCGCGCTCCCCTTGCGCTGGCGAATATTAGCGAGTGCGTGACATCCACGCGTGTTACCGACGGCTAACCCCAACCGCTGCGGCGCTCTGGCTAGCCGCCGTTGTGCCCAGTGGTTTCCCAGTAGTTTAACGGATATCGCGGTGTTAGGAAGCGCGTCACAGGCGCTCGTCGTAGCGTGTGTGTAACATCTTTCGCTGCCCCGTTTGCCTTCCACATCAGCAACTCCTCTTTTACGACGCTCTGTAGCGAAGTACCGTCGTCAGCTTCGGGTAACCATGGACCCTAAATTTAGCGAACGTCGCGACTCCATGTTTCGCGTGTCGCCGAAACCGCCAGCCGATCAATGTCTCTCTCACGCGACAGTTACACCTTCTTCGCAGCAATTCGCCAAGGGTTCGCCGAAGTCGCCAGCCCGAGCAGCTGTCGCGAGCTGCGTATCCCTTCCCCGTCTTTTCACCCTCCTCGTCCTTTTAGGGTGCGCCGGCCTGTGGCCGGCTTTTCTCCGCACCGCCGTTAATCACGGCGACGATCGCGGCGCTGCCAGCGGAACACCGGGTTCAGAGTCAACGGATAGCCTAGGCACGCGAAACGGCTACTTCAGCGTGTTTGGCGGGCCGTCCGCGATTCGCGGCGGGTTCTCCGAGCGGCAGCTGATGGAGATGACGTCAGAAGGCTCTTTAAGGGACAGAGGGCGCCGCGAGAGGGGGGACATGCTGACGTTGCGCGATGACGAGACTACAGGGGAAGGGCAAGCGGAGAACAGGGAAGCGGGAAGGCAAGAGCGGGAGGGGGGAAGAGAGGAGGGAACGGAAGAATCAGCGAGGGGGGAGGGGGAAGCGGAAGGGGAGCATGCGGAAGAGGGGGAGGAGCGCGCGAACCGCGCTAGCCCGTCTATGACGCCAGACACAGCGCTCCATACGGTAGTCCGCGCGCGGGGGCGCGGGGCGGGCGAGGGTGTTGCGGCGCCTGGAGCGCTGCGCGCTGCCTCGGGGGGCGAGGGGGAGGCGCGCGGAGCGGAGGGCGCGGAGGAGACGCGCGGAGCGGAACGCGCGAAAAGAGGGGTGGGGGTGGGGGATGGGCGGGGAGAGGGAGGCACAGAGAGCAAGGAGGGAAGCGTGGAGGGAAGAAAAGAGGGGGGTGAGGGAGGACAGATGCAAGTAGGGGACAGAGAAAAAGGGGGATTGGGAGAGGGGAAAGGAGGAGGGGAGGGAGGGGAGAAAAGGGAGGGAGGGGTGGGAGGAAAGGAGGGGGGAAGGGAGGGAGTGGAGGGAGGGGAGTGGGGATGGCGGTGGGTGGACGAGAAGGACCCATCCTGGCCGCTCTACTCCGCTGCATCCTGTCCGTTCATCTTCCCTGGGCAGAACTGCCGATCCAACGGCCGCAACGACACGAGGTTCGAGCGATACGCGTGGCGGCAGGGGGTGGAGCGGAGTGGGGAAGGGCGGGAGGGCTGGGGGGGAGTGGAGGAAGGGGAGGAGACGGAGGGGAAGGAGCGATCGTGGTGTGATGCACTACGGGGCGTGCGGCATGGGAGCGGGGTTGGATCTGCCACACCCGTGACACCCAATGGAATGATGACACGTGTGGCATACATAGGGGACAGCATGATGCGCAACATGTTTGAGAGCATGGCGTGCATGGTGCATGCGCACCCCGTGTGCGGCGACAATCCCGAGGTGGTGCGGGCGAATGTGGTGGAGCGGATCATCCGATGGGACACCTGCAACGTTACCCTCGCTAACCTCAGGTAAATTCACTGTTGTGCCACACATAAGCCGGCAATCCCGAGGTGGTGCACGCGAATGTTGTGGGAAGGGTGATCAGATGGGACACCTGCAACGATACCCTCTCGAATCTAAAGTAACCCCATTGTTGTGCCACACACACACACACTCTGAGCCGGCCGGCGTGTCCCTCATCCCCCATCCCCCCAAGGAGCAGCCTCCTCACTGAAATCCCTTTCAAGAACCCCAACCATGGACGACCTCGATCGCGCCACTCAATACCCCTCTTGCTTACCACACTCTCCCACCACACCGCACTTCACCGCAATACCTCCCCCTCCCCGTGCTTGAAACACGCCCCTGTACCGCTCATCACCGCTCCCTGTCCCCCATATCCCCCCCCCAGGAGCAACTTCCTCACCACCCCCCCACATTGCACACCATTTCCCTCCCCCATTCCTCCCCCATTCCTCCCCCACCCCCAGGAGCAACTTCCTCACGGAGATTGCATTCAAGGACCCCACGGACGAGTTCAAGGGCGCCACTCTGCACCTCTCACTCACCGCTTCACACCCCCCCATACCGCACATCACCGCTCCCTGTCCCTCCAAATCCCCCCAGGAGCAACTTCCACACGGAGATATCTTTGAAGGACCCCAGGGATGAATTCAAGGGCGCCACTCTGTACCTCTCCCTGCTTGACACGCCCCCGTACTGCACACTCACCGTTTCATATCCTCCCACACCGCACATCACCGCTCCCCGTCCCTCCAATCCCCCCCCAGGAGCAACTTCCTCACGGAGATCTCTTTCAAGGACCCCACGGACGAGTTCAAGGGCGCCACTCTGCACCTCTCACTCACCGCTTCACACCCCCCCATACCGCACATCACCGCTCCCTGTCCCTCCAAATCCCCCCAGGAGCAACTTCCACACGGAGATATCTTTGAAGGACCCCAGGGATGAATTCAAGGGCGCCACTCTGTACCTCTCCCTGCTTGACACGCCCCCGTACTGCACACTCACCGTTTCATATCCTCCCACACCGCACATCACCGCTCCCCGTCCCTCCAATCCCCCCCCAGGAGCAACTTCCTCACGGAGATCTCTTTCAAGGACCCCACGGACGAGTTCAAGGGCGCCACTCTGTACCTCTCTCGTCCCGACAAGCGGTGGAAGCAGCGGATCAAGAACTATGATGTGTTTGTCATCAACTCAGGTGAGGGTGGTGGTGATGGCTGTGTGTGTGTTTGTATGCATGCACCTGGGATTCACTCTGCACCTGTCTCATCCCGACAAGCGGTGGAAGCAGCGGGTCAAGAACTATGATGTGTTTGTCATCAACTCAGGTGAGGGTGGTGGTGATGGCTGTGTGTGTGTTTGTATGCATGCACCTGGGATTCACTCTGCACCTGTCTCATCCCGACAAGCGGTGGAAGCAGCGGGTCAAGAACTATGATGTGTTTGTCATCAACTCAGGTGAGGGCGGTGGTGATGGGTGGTGCTGACAGTGTGTGTGCTTGGCATGCATGCACCTTGCATACCCTTGCATCTCGCCCTGGCAAGCGGTGGAAGCAGCGGATCAAGAACTATGACGTGTTTGTCATCAACTCAGGTGAGGGCGGTGCACGTTTAGTACACATTCACTACCCATGCAACACTCATGCGCCACGCTGTACCTGTCTCGCCCCGACAAGCGGTGGAAGCAGCGGGCGAAGAACCACGACGTGTTTGTGATTAACTCAGGTGAGGGTGGTGGTGATGGCCGTGTATTTACATGTTTACACTTGCATACACACACACACACACACACACATTGCTCTCTCTCTTGCTGCTTTTCTCTTGTCACTCACCTTCCACTCTCAACTCCCCTTGCTCCCTCGCTCCCTCACTCCCTCACTCCCCCCTCCCTTCTTCTCCCACCTCTCTCCTGGATCATGCGCTTCTTTTTTACTCAGGCCACTGGTGGACACGTGGCAAGCTCGCAGAGCGCCACGTCAGCTTCTCCCCACCCCACAAATCCCTTAACATCCTCTCTGCCTTCCGCCGAGCCATCCGCACCACTCTGCACCGCTTTGTATCGCGCCATATGACCAACAAGACCGTCATCATCACCACCTCTTCCCCCAACCACTTCTCCCATAAGCCCTCCACTCCCCATTCTCGTGACCACTCAACTTACTCCCAGTCCTTTCAGAGTACCGCACTGAACTCCCTGGAATCCCCACTTGGCCAAGACTCTGATGCCTCTAGACACTTAGCTAAGCGCCGGAGATTGCTTGCAACAAGCGGTGCAAAGAAGAAGCATTCTAAGAGCAAAAAGAGCAAATCCGTTAAGAAACGGGGGCAGTGCGATGCGACGGAGCCTGTGGGGAGTGAGGAGGAGGCTTATAACGAGTACGAGGAACAGTGGGAGCGAGTGGAGCGGTTGAATGCAGTGGTGAGGGAGGAGGTGCAGGAGTATCAGAGGATTCAGAGGGAGAGAGAAGAGAAGAGGAGGAAGAGAGTAGGAGAGAGCGAGGCCGGGAGAAGGAGGAGAAAATTACTGCAAGTGGCGGGCGATGCAGCAGCAGCAGCGGAGGGGATCAGCACAGGGCAAATTGCAGTGCTAAAGAAAGGCCGGCAATCTTGGCTAAAGGCAGAGCGGGAAGTGTTACTGGATGCAGGGCGAAAAGCAATGCTAATGGCAGGGCGGGAAGTGTTACTGGATGCTGGGCGAAAAGCAATGCTAAAGGCAGGGCGGGAAGTGTTACTGGATGCTGGGCGGGAAGCAATGCTAAAGGCAGGGCGGGAAGCAATGCTTCATGCAAACAGCTCGTTGCAAATCGTACGCTTTCCGCGACACGGAGACACCACAGGGTGGGAGATACAGCAGCAGGAAAGGTCAAGACAGCAGCGGGACGAGCAAGGGATGTTGCACGAGGGAGGGTTGGGGGAACGGGAAGGGTTGCGGCACAAGGGACCGCTAGAGGGAGTGAGAGTGGAGAGCAGAAGGCGAGAGGGAGCGAGGATGGAGAGGAGAAGACGAGAGGAAGCAAGAGTGGAGAGCAGAAGGCCAGAGGGAGCGCGAGTAGTACTGTTAGAAGTGGCAGCAATGAGTGTGATGCGGCACGACGGGCATCCAGGTGTCTTCTCGGGATTGGCTGGCGGCCAGGCCGACTGCGCCCATTGGTGCTTGCCGGGCGTGCCTGATGCGTGGAACGAGCAGTTGCTAAGGCTGCTGTGCTGAACACTAGTGAACTATGTATTGCCAATGTCAACCAGTGTATATCGGATTGCTCAATAGCTGACTGCGCCCACTGCCGCTTGCCGGGTGCGCCTGATGCATGGAATGAGCAGCTGCTAAGGACGCGGTAAAAGTGGAGAATCGATCGCCTCAGGATCGTTTTTTGACACGGTTATAAACGATTGTGTACCTTTCGTATGCAAAACGCGGGTCTTCAGTGCGGTGACTTGATCGATCTCCCCCCAATCTAGCACTTTTACAGCGTCCTAAGGCTCTTGCTGAGTTGTGCTAGAAAGGCATAGTGCCGTCGTAGCGGAAGCTTGATTGTAGAAAGTAGCAAGAGAAACTTTGCAATTGAAAGGACTCAGAACAATGGAATAGATTGTGGCACCACACAGCAAGGTATTTATCCAGGCACCTAACCCTCCAAAGTCCACCCATCCACACCAATAATGGTGCACCAATAATGCTACCCACCAATAACTCTTACCCTCCAATAATTCTAGACCCCCAATAATTCTGGCCCTACAATAATTGCACAATTATTGTAGGACCTGGAGTCTTATAAAGGGTACTACACTAATATCTAACAGCATATAAATTTACTTTATGATTGTATTTCCAACACTCCCCCTTGCTGTAGATTTTAGTGAGTTTGTTTGTGGAGGATAACGTGTAAATGGCGTTGATTGCGGAGGCGATAGGGTGGTGGAGTGGAATCCGGAACTGATTTTGGTCACGGCGGTAATTGCGGTGAAGACTCAGCCGTTGGGTTTCCGTTGACACCGCGTTTGTCGGAAACACTGTTGCAGCAGTTACGATGTCTTCCGCACGTTCCCAATTTCCTCAGATGCACGTTTCCTTGCTCAGGTGTTGCGCTGCTGCGCTCTGATTCTCCGCCTCACAATTCTCGCGACCCTCGTTCAGGTCGAGGGTTTCTGGTTCTCGTCCCACCCTCTCGAACTTCTGTGCACTGGACGCTCCCCTGTCAGGCTCTTGGTTCAGTTTGTCGCCATGCACACCTCCCGTTTCTCCCACACCCTTCTCCAGCAGGGGTCAAGTCATTTCGCCATTTCCGATTGCCACTTGTCTCGTTTAGTGCAGGAGCTTCCAGATCGATAGTTTCCTAGCCATGGCTGCTGCCACCGCTGACGATGTCCACGGTCAGCGCGATTCCCAGCAGCAGAGCGGATTGCCTCCCTTCGTCTTAGGATAGCTGCTGCTGGCGAATATCTTCATGGCGCACGGCTTCTTTCTGGTCATGTGACCTAGGACGCGCTGCTTTTTCCGCCTTCCAGTGCTGACCCGATTTCCTTTGCTGTCGCGCGACTGCTGCTTTAGTCGTGACGATTTTCTGGTGTGCGTTGTGCTTCGCCATGGCGCGATGTCCTTCAGCTGTAGCTAGCGCGCATCACTAGCGCTCGCCATGTCATGGCTGGCGCTCGGTGACAGCAGCGCACGTGGCGACCTGCAGCGCCAGATGCGCGTTTCCTGCGGCTGCGGCCAGATCCGCGACTGCTGCTTCGGTCGCGCGGCTGCCGTGACCTCCTCGCTTGACAACCTGCGCGCTGCAGCTCCTTGCGCGCGACTGCTGTTCATGGCGCCCGTGGCGATCGGCAGCAGCGGCTGGCGCACGACTGCAGCAGCATGCGCGCCGCTGCATTACATCGCATGTGGCGGCTTCTGCTAGTGCGCGCCCTCCCCTTGCCATTTCGGGCGACCTTGTGCTAGTGACGAGGTGAGTAGCCCTTCTCCGTGTAACTACCACTGCTTGCACCTTGACCTCACTCATGTGTGTTTCTTGCAATTGATGTACTGCAGCACTGACCGTGCTAAGTCACTTGTTACTGCTCCCACATTCTCTTGTGATTTTCCTTGCCCCCGCCCATACCAGCTAGCGAGCGTGAGCGGCTGCAGCCGGCATCGGCACCTGGCGCTCTGGCGCGCACGTCTGCAGCTCCTGGTGGCGCACGGCTGCTGCTCCTGGCGGCCCACTGCTGCTACTTCTGGCGGCTCACTACTGCTACTCCTGGCGGCGCACGGCTTTCTCCTTCCTACTGAGGTGAGAATGCTTCATCGAACCTGACTGTTTCACCCATGTTACCCGTTGTACCCTGTGATGTTACCCTGTGCTGCCCCCCTTGACCCTGTGTTGCTCCATGTTGCCCTGTGCCACTCCCCCTATACCAGGTGGCGGACGGAAGCAGCTGCAACTGGTACACAAGCACCTGGCGGCTGCTCCTGCACCTGGCGGCTGCTTCTGCAAACTTCTGCCAGCACCACCTGACTGGCGGCAGTAGCATCACCGGTCGCTTGCAGCAGCTCCCCCTGACGCCCTGCAGCACCTGAAGCCCTGCAGCACCGGGCCTGCAGCAGTTCTCCCTGATGCCCTGGCCGCTTGCACTGGTGCAGCTCTAGCACTGGGTGGCAGCGGTATCAGCAGCACCTGTGTCACCTTGGTGAGCAGTCCCAGCAGCGTCTGACTCCAGCTGTCTTCCCTTGTATTTAGTAGGACTTTGTCAGCAGTTTCTTGTGATTTCCTCTGTCTGCTTGCCTCATGCTGACTCATGCTGACTTGTTTCTTCCCCCCTTGAAACCAGCAGGCATATGAAGTCTTCAGGAACGGCCGTTGCAGTTGGTGAGTGGTTGTGACCAACCAGCAGCGACTGTCCAACAGAATTTGATGGCTGCTCTTGTCACTGATTGCAGTAGGTCTTCTCTTGATGCATATGTGCTGACTCTTGTAATGGCGAAAATGAAAGATGGTTGTGCGATCAGATCCCAAATGGTTGCACCCCAAAATACTCCACACCCCACTCCCCCTCTCACTCGTGTGTTGGTAGTCATGCACATGCGTGAGCACGCACACAGCACCAAACACATGAGTGAGATGTGTGGAGTTACGTGATGCCTTGTTGTCCAGCACCCCTTGAGAGGCCCGTACATGAGCGTGCAGCTCCAGCGGCTTCAATGTGAGGACTGGGTGCAGACGGGGCTCCATGTGGAAGTGGTTGGAGACCGCACAAGAGGCTGCAGGTGAGATGTTGCTTTGCTGTGAGGGGCTTGGTGAGATAATCCGCAGCCTGCTGAGCTGTCGGGCAGTACTCCGGCCGCACAACTCCATCACGAACGGCCTTCCGCGTCCAATGGTAACGGACGTCCATGTGCTTGATGCGTTGACTCATCTGCTCCCCGGTTGCAAGTGCAATTGCGCTTTGGTTATCCACAAAGATGACAGTAGGTTCTTGCTGTTGAAAACCGAGGTCTTCACACAAGCGGCGAAGGTATGTAGCTTCCCTTGCCCCTTCGAACAGTGCAATGTATTCTGCTTCAGCTGTTGATGTTGCAATGACAGTTTGCCGTTTAGTCCTCCAACTGACGGCAGCTCCTCCCAAGGTAAACACGTAGCCTCCAACGGAGTGACGCCCTGCTTCGTTCGCATAATCCGAGTCTGTGTATCCGCGGAGCACCAAGTCCTCTCCTCCATAGACCAGCCCGATGTCCGCAGTGTTCTGTAAGTAGTTGAACACCCTGTGGATTCCAAGCACTGTTGTTGCTGTTGGTTTGCTTGCTTGGCTGGCCAGCACATGCGCTGCATAGGTGATGTCCGGCCTCCCTGCTGTTGAAATGTACAGCAATGTCCCAACTTGTTTCAGCACTAATTGACCATCAATCTCGTCCGGTGGTTCTCCTTGTGGTCCAGGTTCCTTGGTGATCGGTGTCCGAACTCCGGAACGGCTGCTCTCCATCCCGAAGGTCGCCAAAGCCTGTGAGATTTACTTTGTGAGTCCGAGCGAGATCGAGCCGTTGTCAGTAGCGACGTTGAGCCCCAAAAACTGCGTCATGGTCTTGCTGATGGTCAAGGTAAAGTGCTGCTTCAAGTGTTGAATCACAGCTTCAATCCCTTTGTCGTCATGGGACTGGATGAGGATGTCGTCAACGTAAGTAAGCAGCCATACCATGTCTTTGCCTTCTCTCTTCCATAGGAATAGCGATGGGTCAGATTCGGACTGCACCATGTCTAGCTCCAACAGGACACCCCGTAAGTGCTGATGCCACAAGCGTGGTGCTTGTTTCAGTCCGTATACACTGCGCTTGAGTTTCCAGACCTTGTCTCCTTCACGCCGAGGTTCAGGAGGTCGCACGTACACGTCTCTGTCGATTGGTGCGTAAAGGAACGCGTTGGAAATGTCAAGTTGCACCACCTTCCGTTTCGTGGCCGATGCACCAGCAACAAACATGCGCGAGGTAGGTCCTTGGCTGACTGGGGCGTATGTTTCGTCGTATGTTCCCCAAGTCTGTCCGCATCCCTTCACCACCCAGCGTGCCTTGAATCGATTCGGCTCCCCGTGCTCGTCTCGTTTCACCCTCAACACGACTCCTTCTGTCAATACTGGCACTCCTTTTGGTACGTCAGCTCTGTCCACGACTTCATATGCTTCCAGCTCGTCGAATTTTGCCAACTCTGCATCCACCGCAGCTTGCCAACGAGGTGCATACTGATCTGTTGTCATCTCTTTGAGCGTTTTGGGCTCCTTGTATGTCAAGTCCACCATGGGGACGCCGGTTGCTGCACATCCTAGCACGTGTTGCTGCAAGTTGGGATGTTTGTTGAACGCTTGTGTTGCCTGTCATTTCCCAAACAGCACGTCCAGTCCTGTCATGGTGTCCGTCCCTTGTCCTTCTCCTCCGAGCACAGTCACAGTTGGGTTGAAGTGAACCCGCCGTAGAGTTGCGTCATGAACTGCCAGCTCGATCCCATCAGGTGGGTAGGCAAAGTCATAGATATGACTTGCCTCATTCTCCATTTCGTTGCTTTCAGCACCTTCAGGAACAGAGACGCCAGCTGGAGGTAAGTCACTTGCTGCACCCCCTTCTCCCTTATTGGTTGCGTCGTCAATGGGTGCATCCTCTTGATTTGCGACAGCTTCCTGTCCTCGTGTGGTTGATGCGTCCGTGGACGACGTAGGCGATGGCGAGGATGCGGGAAATGAGTCCAACTCGGACCCAAAGCCTTCTCCCCCGGAAGTCCAGCCGTCGATGTGAGGTGAGACTTCTTCCATGTAGCGGTGGCGTTCGAGTACCGATTCAGCGTCCGGAATCATGAGGTCATCAAAGAAGCGAGCTGAGCGTGTGTCCGTGTCAACATCGCTTGCCAAGTCCCGCACGATCCATGCCCTCCGAGCGTTGGAGAGTCCAAGGAACATCCCAACCCTTCCTCTTTGCTCGAACTTCCCAAAGCTACCTTGGGGAGGGAGGTAGTAGCAGAGGCAGCCAAAGGTCCTTGCCATTGAAACATCTGCCGCCTTTCCTGTCATCATGAAGTACGGTGAGTGTGCTGATGGGTTGCTGCTGCAGCTGATGCGGTTGTGTAACCAGGCTGCATACTCCAGTGCATAAGGCCAGAACTTAGAAGAAAGGCTGGCCCCGGTAGTCATTGCACGCACTCAGTCCATGAGTGTGCGGTTAACCCGTTCAGCGACTCCATTCTGCTGCGGCGTATGTGGTAAGGACGTTTGGTGATTGATACCGTGAGAACTCAGGAAATCCGTGAATGCGTTTGATGTATACTCCCCCCCGTTGTCCGTGCGCAAGGCAGCCAACGGCGTCTTGGGCAGCTTGGTCTTCATCTCACGGTGCCAAGCCGAGAAAACTGCAGCCATGTCGGACCGGCGAGCCAACGGCGCCACCCACAGGTAGTTGGTGTAGTCGTCCTTGAGCGTCAGCACATAGCGAATTGAAGGGTGAGCATCACCCATGTCCATGATGTCGCTATGCACGAGCTCCAAAGGTCGAGTTGTGGCATTGGTACTTCCTGTGGGAAAGGGGGCCTTGCTCATCTTCCCTCGAAGACATGAGTCACATGGGGGTTTGAGAGGGTTAGTCTTGTCGGATATGGTGAGTCCTTCAACATCACCATTTCGAAATGTTGCATCCATGGATGTGTATGATGGGTGACCCAAGGGCTTGTGGGCCATGCGGTATGTGATGGATGCATGCGCTGAAAGTGGATTCAGCCCTTTATAACCATGATCATGCAATGCGTCTTCCTCATGGTAATGGTCAGATCCATGGGCAGATGCAAGTGCAGGCTCATACTGCACCATGAGCACACCATGCATGATCATTCCAACCCCAATGACCACATGCTCATCTTCAGCCGCCATAGTAATCTCCGTGCGTCCGTCATCACGAGTGCGAATCCGAGCTCCTTTCGTGTGCAGCTGGCAATAGGAGAGCAGGCTGGACTTCAAGCCAGGTACGTAAAGCACATCCGTGTAGCGCACTATTGTTCCATCGGGTGCCGTTGCCCGGATTGTTCCCGCCATCGAGCTCAACAGGTGGCTCCCGTCAGCAAGCTCCACGTAAACAGGTTCGTCCAGCTCCTCTAGACCCTCAAACCAATCCTTTTCTGAAGTCATGTGTTGGCTGCATCCGCTGTCCAGCAACCACAGCGACCCTCCGGCTGTTGGTAACATTGCTTGTGACGACCGAATCGTTGCAACGCATGTAACGGTGCGTTTGTTGTCTCCCCCGGCTGCCCCTTGCTGTTTTGACGCTTGGTTGTCACGTTTGGGGCTTTCACTCCTTCGAGGCGAGGACGAACGGCTATTCCAGGTGCGCTGGTTTGTCCTCCCTCTGTTTTGTGGTTCCCACCCTGGTGGTGACCAACCCGGGGGCGCTTTAGGACATTTGTAGAACGGGTGGCCAGATTCCTTGCAGTACCAACACACAAGGTTGGAGCGCCCTCCCCTTCCTTCGTTGGCCTTGAGTTTCTCCCCAACCGCATTCTGGTTGCCCTTTGTCTCGGTCCTCTCCTTTGCTGGTGAAGTATCTCCACGTGCTTGGCCAGCCATGCGCGGAGGACGCTTGTCACGGTTGGTCTTGCTAATGAGGTCTTGGTAGCGTTGTTCCTGAATCATCATTCGCTGTAGTGTGTAGCTGTCCGAGATGTCGTGTAGCATTGCCGAATGCCTCAGCTCCTCCCAATGCGGCGGCAGCCCGGTAATCAGATTTAAAGTGAACGAATCTCCATCCACCATCTTTCCCGCCATTGCCAGCTTGTCTCGAATTGCAGTTGCTCGGTTGATGTATTCCTCCACTCTTTCTTGGCTCCCCATCTTCAGGTTGTCCAATTGCCTCTGGAGAGACGCCTTTGCCACCGAATCCTTCGCCTGGTAAGTCTCCATCAGATACTCCCATGCTTCGAATGCCGGACTGTATGACTCTTGGAATACGTCCAGTTGCAGCTGAATCGTTGCGCTCACGCTATGTAGCAGCACCCAAAAAGCCAGCGTAGCCCGTTGTGAGTAATCTGCTTGCAGAACTTCCAGCCGTTCCATTGCATCTCGCATTTCTCCATTCGCCATTGTAACCGGGTATTGAAGTGTCACGAAAAACTCCCACAGATTTGTCACGCGTGCGTTCATGCGAAACCGAAGAGCCCATTCTCGGAAGTTAGTCCCGTCGAACGGGGTTGTTGTGAACGCTTTGTCCACTGCTGCTCCCACCATCTTGCGTGACAACCTGTCCTTGTCTTCTTCCGTGTACTCGCGTGGAGATGGGTCGAAGAGCGTAGGCACGTTAGATGGTCGAGGTAGTTGTATCGTGCGTTGTGTGCCTTCACGTTCCACCACTTCCACTTGATCACGTCGCATAACACCACTTGACTGCATCCCGTGCCCCATGCGCCCCATGCTTCCTGCAGGTACAGCTTCCATTTGAGACCGTGGCGCACGAGGAGGTACGGCATTATTGCCAAAAAGGTGAGATCTGCCCATCACGGGAACTCCAATGGGGTGGGAGTTAGTAGCAAGACGTCGCAGTGGGGGAGCACCAATAGTGTAGGATTCGAATCCCACACCTTCCATGCCCACATGACTGCTTCGACCACTCCCTTCACCAATCTGTCCTCTCATGTTTCTTCTCACGCCGATCTCATCACCATGCTCCATCACATTTGTTCCACTCCCGTACGCGTCATCCCTCCACGTTGCTTCCTTTTGCATGATTGATTGAGGTTCGGGGTGGGAGCTCCCCTCTCCTTGGAAGGATGCATCCCTCCCTTGGGATGACTCTCCTCCTTGGGGTAGGCTTCCCTCTCCTTCATCTTCAACCCCTGCATCCACATTTGAAGCATGGGTTTGGTTAGTACGCGGAGTGCTTGCATGTGACTGTTCACGGGTGGATGGGTCTTGTGCTTGACTTGGCATGTTGAACTTGACTCTTAATGATGCTTGAAGTGTCGGTGGTGCCCTTGCGATCATGTTCTCCAGGTGCTCATGTTGAGCCATAATGGCCTCTTCAAACGCCGCGTATCCTGCGTCAACTTCCTCATCAAACCGTGCCATGCCGTTGATCCAGAAAGTTGCTCGTACCTATGCTGACTTGCTAATATCCTTGTCAAACGTTCTTGATGATAAGTGCCTGACCGAATTTCGGCAGCATGCCCCCTAGAGTAGCTCTGATACCATGCTAGAAAGGCATAGTGCCGTCGTAGCGGAAGCTTGATTGTAGAAAGTAGCAAGAGAAACTTTGCAACTGAAAGGACTCATAACAATGGAATAGATTGTGGCACCACACAGCAAGGTATTTATCCAGGCACCTAACCCTCCAAAGTCCACCCATCCACACCAATAATGGTGCACCAATAATGCTACCCACCAATAATTCTTACCCTCCAATAATTCGAGACCCCCAATAATTCTGGCCCTACAATAATTGCACAATTATTGTAGGACCTGGAGTCTTATAAAGGGTACTACACTAATATCTAACAGCGTATAAATTTACTTTATGATTGTATTTCCAACAAGTTGGAGAAACACGTACCATAGCAAGCAGTGCGAAAGCATCTTATATGCAAGTGACTCCAATATCTATGCCTGATGCTTGGAATGGAATGAAGTGAGTAAGCACACTCAGGGTACTGTAATGAAATCAGCAGTAATAAAAAGCATCCAGTCAGGAACAGAGTACACCGGTGCACACTTCTACAGTAAAGGCATGCAAAACCAAGCAGCAGCCAGCACTACTGCTTGCTCCATTTCCCACGTTCCCGTGCATTCATACCGTAAGCTCATCAGCTACACTCGTGGCTGAATGTGATACTGTATGATTTAGAAAGCTTGCTTTCTTTCATGTAGCAATGGCATCGTCTCATTTCAAGTGGGTTTAGTACAATTGAAATCCAAGCAATTCTAGCAGACTAATAAACAAACACTGCCTACGGTTGTCGCTAGTTCCGAGGGGTGGGCGGGCGGGAAAATTGGCTAAACCGTTTGAAAATGAGAGACGTGGGTGGAGGGAAATGACCTCCAGCCCACGTTTTGTACTCCAAAACGGGCGTTTAGCGCGATTCGACTCTGCCCATTCCTACATTACAAACAGCTTCGCTTTCAAAATACAAAAATTTGAAAAGCGTTACAGCTTTTAAAAATATTCATATTGCTGACCATGGCCTGGTCGCACTGATTGAAATGTTTGATTGAATAAAAAGCCCTTCTTTATTGAAAGCAAGCACATACACACAAGGCAAGCGAAGGGAGTCAGCCCAACACGTGTCAGGCTAGACTGACCAATGATAGCCTGGCTCCCTCCCCTCCTCCCCTTCCCTCCGGACTTAACAGATTTTCAGCACAACCTAAATTCATCCTACATCGCTACCAGTATTCTTGACCAGCCACTGTAAGATGGCTATTTACCGCTTTCGTGCTGATGGCTGCGGGATTGCGGAGGTAGTATGGTGGTGTTAGTGGCGGTGATGGTTGATGATTGTGACTGTAGTGGTGGGAGTGATAGTGGTGATGATGTTAGGAGAACTGTTGCTGTCGATGGCGCTAGTGATGCTGCTGAAGCCACTGCAACAGCTGCTGCGTCAGTTTAAGCAACAGCCACTGCTACAGCCGCCACTGCTGCTGCAAAGCTACACGTTCTGCAGCACGATAGCCAGCTCAGCAGCACTGCTAAAACTCTGGGGCGTTTTGCAGTTGGCCAGCCGCTTGCAGTTGAGCAGACCCCCCGTGGCCCCACACGTGCACAGCGAGCAGCGGTCCCCCGGCTTGGGCATGCCCTCTATTCCCGCCATATAAAATTTCGGTCCCCAGCTGGGCCCCGCCGCCCCGCATATGCCCTCTGTATGGAGGGAGTAGGGAAGGGAGAGGAGAGAGCACTGAGAGAGCAGCTTTCTCTGGGAGCAGCGGTCCCCTGGCTTGGGCATGCCCTCTATTCCCGCCATATAAAATTTCGGTCCCCAGTTGGGCCCAGCTGCCCCACAGATGCCCTTTGCTCGGATGGGGGAAAGAGGAGGCACAGCAGATCAAGAGAGAGGGAAGAGAGGTTGTAAGAGCACTGCAAGAGCAGGTAGCACTGCAAGAGCAGGTAGCACTGCAAGAGCAGGTAGCACTGCGAGCAGCGGTCCCCCGGTTTGGGCATGCCCTCTATCCCTGCCATGTAGAACTTGGGTCCCCAGCTGGGCCCCGCCGCCCCGCATATGCCCTCTGGGTGGAGGGAGTAGGGAAGGGAGAGGAGAGAGGGGGGTTAAGAGCACTGAGAGAGCAGCTTTCTCTGGGAGCAGCGGTCCCCCGGCTTGGGCATGCCCTCTATCCCCTCCATGTACAACTTGGGTCCCCAGCTGGGCCCTGCTGCTCCACAGATGCCCTCTGTGTGATGGGCAAGGGAGAAGAGTACACAGGGAGATCAGGGAAGGAGAGGACAGGAGGCAGTAAGAACACTGGGAGCAGCGGTCCCCTGGCTTGGGCATGCCCTCTATCCCTGCCATGTAGAACTTGGGTCCCCAGCTGGGCCCTGCTGCCCCATAGATGCCCTCTGTGCAGGTGAAGGGGGGGAGGCAGGGCGGAAGGGTGTGTGGGTGTGTGAGCATGGGTGTGTGAGCATGGGTGTGTGAGCATGGGTGTGTGAGCATGGGTGTGTGAGCATGGGTGTGTGAGCATGGGTGTGTGAGCATGGGTGTGTGAGCATGGGTGTGTGGCTAAGGCATTCATGATGTGTATGGCATGGGTTTGTGGGCATGCAGGTATGGGTATGTGGCAAATGATGCGCCTATGGGGCTAGTGATACGCCATCGGGAGGGTGGTAACCAGGTAACTTACGGATGCCAGAGAAGACGCACACGCCCTTGTCCACAGGCAGACCCTTGTCCTTTCAAAGGCAATCACGCATGGGTGAGGCATGGGTCTGTGTGTGTATGGGTATGTGGCAACTGATGCGCCTATGGGGCTAGTGATACACCATGGGAAGAGGGTGGTAACCATGTAACTTATGGATTCTGGAGAACACACACACGCCCTTGTCCACCGGCAGACCCTTCTTGTCCGTTTGAAGTCATATTGGCACATGGGCAAGACTTTAGCGTGTGGGTGTGGCACCATGACGAGAGTGGTAACCAGGTAACTCACGGATGCCAGAGAAGACGCACACGCCCTTGTCCACAGGCAGACCCTTCTTGTCCTTGCCGCCTCCTCCTATCTTGGTAATCACACACCTGGCATGTGTAAGAGGGGCATGAGGGGTCGAGGGGGCAGGTGTCGTGAGGACGAAGGGAAGGGCGGGAGCAGGCGTAAATGGTTGGTGCAGAGAAATGACAATGGAGCAGAATGTCTGACAGGGAGCATTGAGAGAACATGAGAGCTGGAGAGCACGAGAGGGAATGCAAATAGATGAGGATTCAATGTGATGGACAGGAGACGGGTTGGGAATGATATGTAATGAGATGTGTCGTCATAAGGGATCCGATCCAATCGATCCGATATGATTTGATTGCATACATGTTTTGCTCTGTCGGGCAGCGAAACTTTCCCACGGGCTGCCCGTTATAGTCAACGTAGCAGGCGGGCAGCGAGGAGCAGGAACAGACTGCCCGGTTGGGGCCCGGCATTTTCCTCCGGTAGGAGCAGTCACAAGACTTGCAGAGCGCGTTGCCCTGCACGCCCTTGGTGCCCACGGCGTACGGTGTACCAGCATAGCGACAAAAAGAACCCCCTGGTGGTGGGAGGGGAACAGGAGGTGGTGGGAGAGGTGAAGAGAGAGTGAGCATTTTCCTCTGGTAGGTGCAGTCACACGTCTTGCAGAGCGCGTTGCCCTCTATGCCCTTAGCTCCCACCGCGTATGGCGTGCCCGCATAGCGACACAAGGAGCCCCCTGGTGGTGGGAGAGGGGGATATGGGAAAGAAGAGGCGGAGGGAGTGGGGGTGAGATGTCTCAAACAGAGCGCGTTGCCCTGCACGCCCCTGGTCCCCACCGCGTATGGCGTGCCGGCATAGCGACACAAGGAGCCCCCTGATGTGTGGTGGAGGATGGGGGGACGGGGAAGGGGATGGGGATGGTGAGGGGGGAGGTGAAGGGCGGGAGAGGGAAACGATGAGCATGGGGAAACGGGGAAGACGAAAGGGGGGTGGGGGGACAGCAGGGGAAAAGGGAGAGCCGGGAGGGGAAGGGGGATGGTTAGCAGGGGACGGAAACCGGCCAGCAGGGGAAAGGGGAGAGCAGGTGGGGAAGGCAGGGATTACGCGGGGGAAGGGGGAGAGGGGGGAGGGGGGAAGGGGAGAGCAGGCGGGGAAGACGAGGGCAGCACGTACTGGTGAAGGCGGAAGTGCAGCGGCCGACGTACCGCGTTTCTAACGGCGCGCAGGCAAGGGACGGCGGAGAGCAAGAGGGGGAAAGGGTAGGGCGAGTGGGGGGAAGAGGAGGGCGGCGCGTACTGGTGTAGGTGGAGTTGCAGCGGCCGACGTACTTGGCTTGCGGCGCCGTCGGCACCTGAGTCACCACGCAGCTGCGAGGAGACGGGAGGGGGGAATGCGCGGAGAGTGACGGGGAAAGAGGAGCAACTGGGAATGAAGCAAGGAGTGAGCAAGCGCGCCGAGTCACAAGTGCTCGCTTGAGGCGCTGTCGGCACCTGAGTCACCACGCAACTGCGGGGAGAGACGAGGAAGTGAAGTGTGAGAGACGGGGGCGGGAGAAGAAACAGGGGAGTGAGCAAGCGCGCCGAGTCACAAGTGCTCGCTTGAGGCGCTGTCGGCACCTGAGTCACCACGCAACTGCGGGGAGAGACGAGGAAGTGAAGTGTGAGAGACGGGGGCGGGAGAAGAAATAGGGGAGTGAGCAAGCGCGCCGAGTCACAAGTGCTCGCTTGAGGCGCTGTCGGCACCTGAGTCACCACGCAACTGCGGGGAGAGACGAGGAATTGAAGTGTGACAGACGGGGGCGGGAGAAGAAACAGGGGAGTGAGTAAGCGCGCCGAGTCACTCGCGCCGTACTTTGCTTGGAGTGCTGACGGCACCTGAGTCACCACGCAGCTGCGGGGAGACGCGCGGGGAGGAACGGGGAGAGACGGGCGGGGAGACAAGCAGGGAGTGAGCAAGCGCGCGGAGTCACTAGCGTCCCTACCCAAGAGTTACTTGCACGCGGAATAAACGCGCGGAAGCGCTCGCGCGACGGAGAAGCAGAGCGGAACGAAGGGGGACGAAGCGGAAGGAAGTGAGACGGAGCACGACGGCGCGACGGAGCGGAACGGAGCGACGACCCGTCTGCGCTGATTGTGGCAGACGGGAACGGAACGGGGTAAAGCAGACAGCCGACTTTTGAGGCGCCTCAAAAGGTCGTCTCTTATCCCGCATTTTCGAGGCGCCTCGAAAAACGTAGCGACGACCCGTCTGCGCTGATTGCGGCAGACGGGAAGGGAACGGGGTAGAGCCGACAGCCGACCCCCTTGCGGCCTGACACGCGCGCGCATTCACTTGCGCCCAGTCGTGGGCGCGCATTCATTTGCGGCCAGTCGCGGGCGCGCATTTGCACCCAGTCGCGGGCGCGCATTCACTTGCGCCCAGTCCCGGGCGCGCATTTGCGCCCAGTCGCGGGTGCGCATTCGCTTGCGCCTAGTCGCGGGCGCGGATTCACTTGCGCCCAGTCAAGCGCGCGCACTCACTTGCGCTTGTTTCCGCGGCAGAAGGGGTAAACGGGCCGCCGCTCGCTGTCCAGGTAACACGTGGCGCCGTCTGGGAGCGATGCGGACCCCGATGACGCGATGCTGTGGGCACCTGGGGATGAGCGAGGAGTGGGGCGCAATGGGGGAGAAATGAGAGGTTGGGAGAAGGGAAAAAAGGGGGGAAGTCTGAGTCGACTCAAGAGGACTTGGACGAGGCGATGCCGTGGGCACCCGGGAATGCAGGAGGAGGCGGGCGGACGGAAGCGGGGAGAAAGGGGGGGAACTTCTGAGCGCGATGGGCAGCAGCGTCAACTCGAAAGGTTCCAACGAGGCACATGTAAGGTTGGAATGCGCCGGAGGGGCGCATTCGAGGGAGCGAGTGAGCGGGGGAGGCACACCCGAGGGAGCGAGTGAGCGGGGGAGGCACACCCGAGGGAGCGAGGGAGCGGGGGAGGCGCACACCCGAGGGGGCGGGAATACGCGCACCTGAACGAGCAGGGGATGCGCGCACCTGAGAAAGCGGCGAGGAGGACTAGAACGGGTAGTAGCAGCCGGCGGGTCATGGTTGCTGCTGGAGTAAGCCGCGCGATGGAAGCTGGTCTCGGGGCGGCCGCACCTGAACGAGCGGGGGATAAGCGCACCTGACCGAGGCGCACCTGAGAAGGCGGCGAGGAGGACTAGAACGGGTAGTAGCAGCCGGCGAGTCATGGCTGCGGTGGGAGGAAGCCGCGCGGTGGGAACTGGTCTCGGGGCGCGAGACGAGGCGCGAGGCGGCCTTGCGAGGCGATGGCACCCAGCGGGTGCTTGCTGTGGTCTATGCTGGCACGACAGACGAGCTGCTTTTAATCGAAAGCTGCACCTAACGTGAAATGCGCTTCTGAAGTGGAAGCTGTTTCGTAAATCCAGAAGCTACTTTTGCTCAACATTTAGTGGGGAGAAATGATCGCGGCGTGCTTATGCTGGACTTCGAAACGCCAGTGATGGACGGGTCGCATGAATCAGGGTTTCGCGAATGTCGGACGGAATCTATCACACAACGGGGGTTGATGGCTTGAAGCAAACTGGAAGGGATTGGAGTGGAGGAGAGACCCTGTCGCGGGGTTGGGTTGTTGTTGGTTGGGTTTCTGCAGGGATGGGGTGGTTGCACAGATGGGAGAGTAGGGCGCAAATCGACGACAGGAAGCAACGAAATGTGGGCGCAACGCGGCTAGGCTGAATGGTGTGGATGACGGCGAGATGCGAGAAAAGGCAGGGGAAGGTGGAACTGTACTCGAGTTGATTGCATGTTTGGGCGTCGCGTAGAAGGGATGGTTGGTTGGGCTGGTCATGAAGAGGGGCAGCCGAAATGTCCGACGGCTGGGATGGAAAGCGAAGAGAGATGGGAAGCACCCGTTGGGCGAGAAGAAACGGCGGCGACAAACACGGTCCGAATGCGGAAAGTTATTCGTGTACAGTTTACACTATTTCAAAGAAGCCCGTTGGAAGAGAAATGCAGCCCCAGCAATTTGTGGTTCGTGACGTCCTCATGTCCGGTCCGGTCTGGTCCGTTTGTCGAATTGAAAAAAAAAAAAATCGGGACTAGCGAGCGACCGCAAATTTGTTCGCAATGAGGTAGTTGGGTGGGTGGGTAGTGGTGCTTCAACGTCTATCATGATTCATGAAATTCGCGCCTGCGAAGTGATTGATTGAAATCGTCGCACAAGCGATTCGGCATGAAAATGTTTCCGCCGTCGGCCCAACTAGGACAACCGTGAGTGTAAAGAATTGTCGGTGATTCGCTCTGAAGACTGTTTGGGGAGAAGTGACATGTAACCGTCGACAGAAAATTTCGCAACGCAAAAACGCCATTTACAATTAGACTCGGCATTAGGGTCGTAATAAAAGGAGACTCACCATTAAACGCCATGTCCGAAGAAAATAAGAAATACTTCTGCAAAATGATCAACACATAGCAGCTTCAGGTCATTTATAGTATAGTTTTCAACATAAAAAAATATAAAGAACTATTTATATTAATTTGTCAGGATATATATAAAATGTAACGAGAATGGAAAATTATTCATACCTTCAAACATGAAGCTACTACTAGAGGTGGAACGAAACGTCTAATAGCACTACAGTCTTCTTATAACGAATCAATGCTTTGGCATCAGGGTATCGCTGCAACACAGCCTCCAGGAAAATGTCATTTCCTCAGCGGACCGCAATCTCCGAAACCGTATGTTTTTTCTGGTAGGGAACTCTCCGACCGTGGGAGATTTCCGTTTCGAAACTAGGGTAGCGCCACGCAATCCTGCAATTTACTGGGTGGTCAGGTGGTTACCCTCAAAGCCTACAAGACAGGATTTAGCCCAGAGGGAGCATGAAACGACCAGTAACCCCCGAACCGAGAGGGCCAAATGCACTCTTCTTCAGCTGATGCGGAACACCCGACGGTGTGAACCAATGGACAGGAATCGTCAGTGCCAGAGATCAGCTCTCTATGGGTTGCTGAGAGCTTCGTTTAACTTAGCACGGGTGGGGTGGGAGCACTGACACTCAAAATGGTTGTTCGGTATCAAGATTAATGAGTGTTAAAAAACGGTAAATCGCACACCTCAATACTTTCTAGCGCCTCGAGATTGGTTTCGCATCTCTTTTGCCATTGGTCGGCGCGGTTGCTGCCATTGCCAATGTGTCCCGCTTGTCCCATGCCCCCCCTTGAGATTCCTTACCGTGCTGGACTCCTCTTCCCTCCCGTACGCACCATATCCCTCCCCACCTCACCTCACCCCACCCTCCCTCGCTTTCTGCCTCCCTTTTGCTGCACAGCACACCCCATTTTGTTCCCTCGCGGCTCCCCTCCTCCCCTGCTCTTCTAACTATGGCTCCTCCAGACAAGTTCTGATTTTCAAGAAACTGTTTCTGGCTTGCTTGGGATTTCCCAGCTGACGTCCCGTCAAACACGTTTACTTCTCAACATAAACCTCGCAATATTTATTGTCCGCCATAGCCGTTGTTTAATCATAGCGTGCGGCTGCATCCGCTTTTCAGCTTTGACAGTCCACGAGATCCGTCCACTGCTGACGGCGTTCCTTCCGAAGCAGAGTCTGCTCTGAGGGCGCGCTTTGACAACTGACCGAACGACGAGCCTTTGTTTTAGGAACTCGGGCTCGGCGCAAATGACGGCTGCGCCATCTTTACACGGTTTTAGGATGAACCGACGGCTTTCAACAATAATTTTGCTTGCAGCCGCCGTTTTTATCGCTGCGCAAATACAGACAGTTTCATCACAAGGTACTAGCTATCGTTTTTCGCTACTCGGTAAAGCTTATTGTTTCTCGCTCGTTCAAGTATCTCAGAGGCAGAAGCCTTCCCGAGTTTGTAACTTCGAACGTAAGAAATGTCACATGCCGGTCAGAATATTTTTGAGTCGATTAAGAATTGTTTGTCAGTTCGTGCGTAAAACAGGATCACATGCCGGTCGAATTCTGTGTTTTAAAAATCGCATGAAAGCGTTAAGCTCGGGGTTTGCGATGAAAACGTTGATTTACGAGTGTCTGACGAAACACTGGTTGAAGTGTTATGCTCGCTGCGATTCCGGGTTTCTTCAGTATGTTTCCTTCTCTTTTTTAAAAACCATATGATATGCTTAGAAAGTTCCGATCCCGTATTTCTTCCAAAATCCCCGTTCCTCCGGCTTTTCCGAAGAAGCTCTTCCTTGATTATAAGTCATCTTCTCGTATCCTTTACTATACCAGCCCCATTGCGGCACTTCCAATCCCTGGTTCTCTGAATCGACAAAAAAAAAAATTCAGTGCTAATAGCTTCCTCTTGTTCCCGTTGCTTCCCCCGCAGCGTACAACCCTTGTACGGATAGCCCGTGTGGCGTCGGCGGCACGTGTAGCTGGGACACTCAGTACACGTGGACGTGCTCGTGCTATAGCGGGTACGCGGCCTTCACCACCTCATTCGACTTGGCCGGCATAACCGTCTCCGGGCAGACGTGTGTTTGTAAGTCCGTGTACCTGGGACAGTGATTGTTTACTGAAACGAGCTTGTGCTATAGCGGGTACACGGTTTTCACTGCCTCGTTCAACTTGGCCGGCGTAACCGTCTCTGGACAGACGTGTGTGTAAGTCGTGTATCCGGGACAGTGGCTGTACTGAGTCACGATCGTGCTAGTGCTGTATCGCGCACGGCCATTCATATAGCTGTAGGATGGGAGGAAGCACATCCTCTGTTTCGCTCGCCTTTTCACGCTCTTACTAAGACTCACCTCTTCGATGTCCATCCTCTGTCCGAGCCGCTTACCCCATCTACGATTCATTAAACCACTCATTCTGCCTTCTCTTCTCTGCTCTCCTCTTTCCTCTCCCCTCTCTTTTAACCCCTCTCACGCATTCTCTGCTCTTCACTCGATGCCCTTCCGCCTCACTACCCTCCCTTACCTCACCCTTTTTCGTTTCTCCCTTGTCCTCTGTCTCCCGTATCCCCTTCCCCCCCTCCCACCCTCCCCTCCTCCCCTCCCACCCTCCCCTCCCCCTCACCTCCGTTTCCCCCTCTTTTCCCCCAGCTTCAGACTCCTCCCCTTCTTACTCCTCCCCATCCTACTACTCCTCCCCATCCTACTCCTCCACCTCCCCTCCTTCCACCAACTCCTCCTCCTCCTCTTCCTCCTCCAAGGGTCTGTCCACAGGAGCAGTCATAGGCATAGTGGTGGGCGTGACTCTGCTGCTGCTGCTGCTCGGGGGAGTCGGTCTCTTCCTCTGGTTCAGGCACAAGAGCAAGGCCAGTGGGGCCGATAAGCCTGGCCAGGCGTACGGGGGAACTGCGGCAGTAGGGGCTGATCTAGAGGCGAATAAGGGGTATGCGAACCCGTATTATGCGGGCGGGGGGGGCGGAGGCGGAGGGGGAGGCCTTGGGGGAAGTGGAGGCGGGAGCGGGGGGTGGGGAGGTGGGGGAGGGGGGAGCGGGGGGAATGGCATGGCGGCTCCTGTGGCAGGGGGATACGGGGGATCGGGAGGGGCAGGAGGGGGAGGAGCAGCAGCATATGGGGCGGCAGCAGCAGGAGCAGCGGGATCGTATGGGGCGGCAGGGGGGGGATATGCGGCAGCAGCAGGGCCTCAGGCGGGGATGGGACCCGGGTCTGGATCCGGGAACGTCATTCACCCCATGTACATGGGAAGTGAGTATGCTTCATCCCTCTGTGACATGCGCCATGAATCATGATCCATGGCTTGGGCGGGTATGGGGTCTGGGTCTGGGAACGTCATTCACCCCATGTACATGGGAAGTGAGTATGCTTCATCCCTCTGTGCGCCATGCATCATGACCCATGGCCCATACGCTGGGAACTATGCCCCATGCCCCATGAACCATGTCCCATGCCCCATCTATGACCTATGACCCAGGATCCACGACGCACATTCCCACTGTTCTCCCTTCCCCTCTCCATGCAACCATCTTATGTCTCAAACCATGACTTTGTTCAGTTTACTCAAGGTGACTTTTGAGTCGACTCAAAAGTCTTCCCACTGTTCTCCCTTCCCCTCTCCATGCTACTATCTAATGTCATGGGGAGCATCACCATGAGTTTGTTAACTTTATTCAAGCAAGCTCTTCTCAGGCGCCTCAAAAGTAGTTCCTTCCCCTCTCCATGCTACCATCTAATGTCTAAAACCTTTGCTTTGTTTGGTTTACTCAAGCGACCTCTTTTCCCTTCACTCATTTTCCACCTCCTCCTGTATTTCCCTCCTCACGTCACGTCCGTCCAGGTGGCATGTACCAGCAGCAGCCACATCAGCATGCCAACGTGGCACAGCACCAGCAGCAACCAGCAGCCTTCCAATCACCTCCGTCCGTCTGTCAGCAATTCGCCCTTGCTGACCTGGCGCGGGCCACGGGTGGCTGGGCAGAGAGCAACCGGATTGGCAGCGGCAGCTTTGGTGACGTGTACAGGGGCGTGAGTCCCTTCGATCCCTCTGTGCTGTGGGCTGTGAAGCGAGCTCGGGTGCTGACAAAGGACTTTCAACGAGAGGTATGTTTACTACCTTGGATGACCACACTGCACCCAGCAGCACCACCACACGCGCCCATTGTCAAGGATGTCAGTCCCTTCGATCCCTCTGTGCTGTGGACTGTGAAGCGAGCTCGCGTTGTCACCAAGGGCTTCCAGAGAGAGGTGAGCGGCCCAATGCCCTGGGTGGGTGGTTAGCACGGTGGCAACCAAGTGAGCGGTTAGCACCATGCCACTCTCATCCACCCCCGCTTCCTGACCCCCCATTCCTCCCCTTTCTCCCGCTCCCTCTCCCGGTCGCAGCAATCTAATTTTGAGGCGCCTCAAAACTACCCTTCCTCCCGCTCCATCTCCCAGTCGCAGCCATGACGATGAAGCACCACACGAACCTGGTGCGCCTACTGGGCTACTGTGTCCACACGAACCTGGTGCGCCTACTGGGCTACTGTGTCCACACGAACCTGGTGCGCCTACTGGGCTACTGTGTCCACACGAACCTGGTGCGCCTACTGGGCTACTGTGTCCACACGAACCTGGTGCGCCTACTGGGCTACTGTGTCCACACGAACCTGGTGCGCCTACTGGGCTACTGTGTCCACACGAACCTGGTGCGCCTACTGGGCTACTGTGTCCACACGAACCTGGTGCGCCTACTGGGCTACTGTGTCCACACGAACCTGGTGCGCCTACTGGGCTACTGTGTCCACACGAACCTGGTGCGCCTACTGGGCTACTGTGTCCACACGAACCTGGTGGGCCTACTGGGCTACTGTGTCCACACGAACCTGGTGCGCCTACTGGGCTACTGTGTCCACATGAACCCAGCACCCCCACTCCCCTTCCGCCCCTCCCTTCCTCCCCCACTCCAGGTAGCAGCCATGGCGACTAAGCTCCACCCCAACCTGGTCCGCCTACTCGGCTACTGCATCGACATGAATCCAGCAGCACTGGGCAGGGGCGACCTGAGCATGGAGCACCGCACTGCACCGCACTGCACCCCTACTCCCATGGGCTACTGCATCGACATGAACCCAGCAGCACTGGGCAGGGTCGACCTGAGCATGGAGCAGATAGTGGTGTACGAGTTGATGGCTCATGGGGACCTGAACCCAGCAGCACCTCACTGTACCCCTTCCTCCCCTCCCTCCCTCTCTCCCACTCCAGGTGGCAGCCATGGCAACAAAGCACCATCCCAACCTCGTCCGCCTGCTCGGCTACTGCGTACACATGAACCCAGCACCACCACGTTGCACCCCTTCCTCTGTGTCTCCCTTTCCTCCCTCCCCCACCCCAGGTGGCAGCGATGGCGACAAAGCACCATCCCAACCTCGTCCGCCTTCTAGGCTACTGCATCGACATGCACCCAGCAGCACCGCACTCCACCACCGGCGACCTGAGCATGGAGCAAATTGTAGTGTACGAGTTCATGGCCAACGGGGACTTGGAGCGGTGGGTGGGGGAGGGGGCAGCACAGCCGCTGGGCTTAGCTGAGCGGCTCTCAGTGCTCATCGGCACGGCTCATGGCTTGGAGTATCTGCACCGCTTTGGCATCGTGCACCGTGACATCAAGCCCGCCAACATCCTGCTCGATGACAAGCTCGAGGTCAGCCCCTCTTTATTTCTCTCGCACACTCTCCTCCTTGTCGTTATAAGCACCTTCCACAGTGGCTAGCACCCCTTCCAGGCCAAGGTGGCCAGCTTTAGGTTGCTGAGGCAGAACGAGGGCACAAATGTTGGGAGACACTCGCATCATGGGCACACCCTTGCTCCACCTCCCTTCCCTCAATCGCCCCACACCCCCTTGCCCTGTATGCAATCCCACCACACCTCCCTCCCTTAACCGCACCTGACGAAAGTACAAGACTTGGGGTTGTTGAGGCAGAATGAGGGAACGACAGTGGGAGACACTCGCAGCATGGGCACACCCTTACTCCAGCCTTCTTTACCTCATTCACCTCACATCCCCTTGCCTTGTATGGTATCCCACTCTCACCTGAACAACACCACCCCCTTATCCCCGCCAGGCCAAGGTGGCAGACTTTGGGTTGCTGAGGCAGAACGAGGGCACGACGGTGGGAGACACTCGCATCATGGGCACACCCGGCTATGTGGACCCCGCTTACTTCAAATCCAACAAGGCCACCCCCATGGCCGATGTGTACAGGTGCAGTGCAGTGCAGTGTGGTACACCGGTACATTTGAGCGGTACAGAGCAGTGCAAACTGGTGTTGCCCTGGAAGAGAGTACATGGAAGTGGCAGGCACACCGGGCTGTGTCGACTCCGCATACTTCAAGTCCAATAAGGCCAGCCCCATGGCCGATGTGTACAGGTACAGAGTGGTGCAGTGTGTTACAGAGTGTTCTTATCCTGTGAGGAAGAGTGCAATGGATTGGCACACCGGGCTATGTGGAAACCCGCTTATTTCAAATCCAACGAGGCCACTCCCATGGCCGATTTCTACAGGTACAGAGCGGTGGAGTGCGGTACAGCTGCATATTGAGCAGTGCAATATGGTGCAAACCGGTATTGTGTTGCAAGGGATTGCTTGGGAGGGAGTGATGGGCACACGGTTCTACCTGGAACCTGCCTATTCAACTCCAGCAAGTCCCGCATGGCTGATGTGCACAGGTCACAGAGCGGTGGAGTGAGGTACAGACCAGTGCTAACCGTTACAGAGTGGTGGAGAGAGGTACAGAATGGTATAAAGCGGTATTGAGCGAGCGGCACCTCTCAGCTTTGGCATCCTCATCCTGACCACTCTGTCAGGCCGCAAGGCAGTCAATGGGAAAGTTTTTTTAGTCGACTAAACAACCGCTCTCCGCTCCTTTCCGTACCTTCCCACCCTGTTCACTTCCCTTCCCCTTCCATGCCTCCCCATCCGCCAGCTTTGGCATCCTCATTCTGGCCACAATATCGGGCAACCATGCTCTCAAGGCGGATAGTTTTCGGATTGACCCTACCGCTCTCCACTCCTTTCCATGCCTCCCCGTCCCCCAGCTTTGGCATCCTCATTCTGACCACAATGTCCGGCCACAATGCACTGAAAGTGGATGAGAATGGCAACAATTTCAACGTCAGGAAATGGGTGAGTTCACGAGCGATTCGGAGAAAGAAGTGATCTGGCTATTTCAACAAGGAGAGGGGGGAGGTTGAAGAATTTCTGAGGCACATATGGAGGAGGAGTTTTGGAGTGAAGTAGATTCACTGGGGTGATTAACTCGCCTGTGTGATTAACTCGCCTGTGTGGTTAACTCGCCTGTGTGGTTTCAACCTCCATGCCAAGCAGGCACCATTCAACCTCTCATCCTCCCGGCTCTTTTCCTTCTCTCCCCCACTCCCTCTTGTGAACCCTTCCCATCAGGCGGAGTCGTTAGTTGCGGCCGGCAAAGCGGAGGAATTAAAAGACCCACGATTGGACGTCCCGGCAGATTTGATTCTGCGGTTGGCACAGCTGGCGCTGCGCTGCACGGGCATGCCGACCGTGTCTCGTCCTGACATGATCCAGGTGGTATCTGAGCTCACGGCGCTCAGGAAGGAGTTTCTGGGGAAGGTGTCATCTAGGATGGCTGAGAGGATTGATGAGGAGGTGGAGTCCCAGAGAGTTGGGAATTTCAGTGCGGAAATAGCGATGATTGAAAGGCTGGCGTTTCAGGGTAGCACCAGTGCAATGAGCATTCGCTGAAGGGGTTGGAATGGAGGCAGATTTTCAACGGTTTTGTGCTCTGCTCTGGTCAATAATTAAATGTAAGGTTTCCATTCAAACTCAGCACGCGTTATTTCAAATGTTGGTGTTATCGGATCAGGAAAGGAGTTGTCTAGAATTCGTAGAATCTTTCGAACTGGTAAACTACGATACATCGGACTGTAATGAGGCTATGAATCGCAAGACCGCCTCACTACCCAGGAGGTCTTGTAATTGGAGGAGTGATATCAGGAAAGTCAACGCGGGTCAAATGAGAGATTTTTCTCTGCCACCCCCGTCCCTTCCCCTGCCAACACTCCCATGCATGTCTAATTCTCAAGAATCTGTTTCTGGCTTGCTTTGGGCGTTCTGGTTGACGTTCCTTCAAACACATGTGACCCTCAACACGAACTTTGCGATTCATGATATTTCTCCTTCACTAAAGCGCTGATTTCAAATCAGCGCTTAGGATTTCTCGTTACATAATCGCCGCGTCCATTTGCGTCCGCTTGTCAGCTCTGAAAGTCGACATAATCCCGTGCGGCACGCTTTTTGTTTGAGCTAATGACTTGGCGCGACTTCACGACAGCGACTGACCAAAAGACGCTCCAAGAACTCGGCTTTGGCGCAATGGCGGATGCGGGAACTATACACAGCCTTAGGGCGAGCCGAGGCCTATTAACAATCGTTTTGTATGCAACCGCCATTTTCACCGCCGCGCAAATTACGGCTGTTTCGTCACAAGGTACGACTTGCTACCATTGTCCAGACTTGGCGATTTTTATTCTATTATCCATAGCTTATCACATGTTTTCTCGCCCGTTCAACTATCTCAGAGGCTAGAAGCCTTTCCAAGTTTGTCAGCTCGAGCATAAAATAGACATGCCGGTCAAAGGATGCTTTTTAAAGAATTGCAGAACACGCCACCAAGTTCGGGGTGCGAAATGAAAGCGTTGAGCTCGAAGTGTCCGATGAAACCTTGGCCCTGTTCGGCTGGCGCATCAGTGGTGAGGCTCGGGTACCAGCTCAGGTTCGGGTGTGGTGCTCAAACGAGTGGTAGTGGTTTGGGGTTTGTCAAAACAGCCCAATTGGTCTGTCAAGTTTGTCAAACTCGCGGAAGGTATATGTTGAGTTTCATGCTGTTTTGCCTCACACATGTCAGGGCTGCCCCCACGCTTGCAGGGACGGGACCAAACGTTTTTGAGGAGGGAGTGTTCGTTTGTGCGGGGAAAAGCTCGCTGGATGATTCTTGGCGGGCACGTTATGCTGCCCCGCATCAGCTGGTGCTGCCCCGCATCAGCTGGTGCGCGCATGGTGCTAGCTCTCCACGGATGCACCATGCGCGCATCAGTGGTGCATCGGTTTGCCAGGAGAGGAGGGTTCCGGGAACGCACATTCGGTTCCCGAACCTGGGGCCAAAAAGGGTGTTCGGCTGGCATCATGCACCAGTTCGCTTCGGTGCTCATGCGCCTATCCCAGACCCGAGTCAGCTGAACCCAGACCCGAGTCAACACTTGTCCGCTTATCTCAGAAGCTTCGAGGGAGCACACTTTACTGTTGCCGGTCCCCGAGCCTGTGCCTGATGCGCCAGTCGAACAGGGCCCTTGATTGAAGCGTTCAACAGGCGCTGCGGTTCTGAGTTCTTCTGTATACTTCATTCTACTTCAACTTCAGTTGTAAGCTACAAGAATTTCCGATCATAATCAATATGCCTTCTAATTCCGCGTCCTCCCAATGGATTTTCTTCCGGCTTACTATATCTTGTTTTCACGCTTCCTTTACGAACCCCACTGGGTCACTTACATTTACGACGCCTTGCCCTGTTGAATCAACGCAAAACTGTTCTCGGTGCTACTAATAACTTGAATTTTTTTTATTTTCTTGTCTCCAAGTCATGCCACCCCCACTCCCAGCGTACAACTCTTGTAACGATAGCACATGCAGTTGGGACACGCCTTGCCTTTTGGATCGACGCAAAAACTATTCTTGCCTTTTTTTCTTGTCTCCAAATCATGCCACCCCCACTCCCAATTCTTGTAACGATAGCACATGCAGTTGGGACACTTACATTTGAGACGCCTTGCCTTTTGGATCGACGCAAAAACTATTCTTGGTGCTAATAACTCTCTCTTTCGTTTCCAAATCATGCCACCCCCACTCCCAGCGTACAATCCTTGTAAGGATAGCCCGTGTGTCTACGGCACATGCAGTTGGGACACTCAGTACGTGTGGTCGTGCTCGTGCGATAGCGGGTACAAGCCCATCACCACCTCGCTCACCTTGGCCGGCAAATACATCGCTGGGCAGACGTGTATTTGTAAGTCCGTGTATTTGTAGCTGGGACAGTGACTGTACAGAGACACGATCGTGCAATAGCAGGTACGCGGCCATTACCACCTCATTTGACCTGGCCGGCGTAACCGTTTCTGCGCGGCAGACATGTGTTTTTAAGTTCGTGCAGCTGGGACAGTGTTTGTACTGAGACGCGTGCTATAACGAGTACAAGGCTATTGCCACGCGGTTATATGTGGTGGGCGTAACCACGTCCGGGCGTAACCACAGCCGGGCATAACCACACCCGGGCGTAACCACAGCCGGGCATAACCACACCCGGGCGTAACCACAGCCGGGCATAACCACACCCAGGCGTAACCATACCTGTGTAGACGGGTCCAATGTAACTACTCGCTACGTAGTACGTGAAGAAACTTCACGAGCTCTCTTCCGGAAAAGTGTTCCTGGATATGCATGCAGTTGTAATACGCCTCTCATGTTCATGCTATATCGTGGATGACCACTCACAGCCGCTGCGAGGTGGTAGCAAACCCGATCTCTGTTTTGGCTGCCTAGTGCAGCCTCTCACTCCGTCCCACCTCCGCCTTCCATCCATTCAGCTATTCTTTTCTCTGTTCGAGTCAATGCACCCTCTAGTTTTGCCTCTCGTTTTGTCCTCTCCCCTCTCTTCTCCCCTCTACGCTCCGCTCTCCTTTCATCCCCCTCATGCTCTCTCTGCTCTCCAACCAATGCCCTTCCTCCTCACCCTTTTTCCGTCCTCCCTTGCCCTCTGCCTCTCCACTTGTATACCCCCTTTCCCCCACTTTCCCCAGCTTCAAGCTCCTCCCCATCCTACCCCCCATCCTACTCCCCCTCTTACTCCCCCTCTTACTCCTCCCGATCCTACTCCCCCTCTTATTCCTCCCCATCCTACTCCCCCACTTACTCCGCCCCATCCTACTCCCCCTCTTACTCCACCCCATCCTACTCCCCCTCTTACTCCGCCCCATCCTACTCCCCCTCTTACTCCGCCCCATCCTACTCCCCCTCTTACTCCGCCCCATCCTACTCCCCCTCTTACTCCGCCCCATCCTACTCCCCCTCTTACTCCGCCCCATCCTACTCCCCCTCTTACTCCGCCCCATCCTACTCCCCCTCTTACTCCTCCCCCTCTTACTCCACCCCATCCCACTTTTCCTCCCCGCCCCCTCCGTCCTCCTCCAATGCCTACCCCTCCTCTTCCTCTAGCGGCCTCTCAACGGGAGCAGTGATAGGAATCGTGGTGGGGGTGCTGCTGCTGGTGCTACTAGTCGTGGGGGTCGGTCTTTTCCTCTGGTTCAGGCATAAGAACAAGGCCAGTGGGGCTGATAACGCTGGCCAGGCGCATACTGGAGCTGCGGCAGCAGCAGCAGCAGCAGGGGCTGATTCAGAGGCCAATAAGGGGTATGCAAACCCGTATTATGCGGGTGGGGGGGGCGGAGACGGAGGGGGAGGCGTTCGGGGGAGTGGAGGGGGGGGCGGGGGGGAAGGCATGGCGGCCCCTGGGGCAGGGGGATACGGGGGATCAGGAGGGGCAGGAGGGGCAGGAGGGGCAGGGGTGGCAGCGTATGGGGCAGCAGCAGCAGCAGCCGCAGCAGCAGGGGGGGCATATGGGGCGGGAGCAGGGGGCCCGTACGGGGCGGCAGCAGGGGGGGCGTATGGGGCGGCAGCGGGGGGGGCGTATGGGGCGGCAGCAGGGGGGGCGTATGGGGCGGCAGCAGGGGGGGCGTATGGGGCGGCAGCAGGGGGGGCGTATGGGGCGGCAGCAGGGGGGGCGTATGGGGCGGCAGCAGGGGGGGCGTATGGGGCGGCAGCAGGGGGGGCGTATGGGGCGGCAGCAGGGTTCAGGCGGGGATGGGGTCTGGGTCTGGATCCGGGAACGTCATTCACCCCATGTACATGGGAAGTGAGTATGCTTGCTTGACCCCTCTGTGACATGCGCCATGTGACATGACTTATGACCCATGAACGTCATTCACCCCATGTACATGGGAAGTGAGTATGCTTGCTTGACCCCTCTGTGACATGCATGATGCGAGACGGTTTTCACACGCCTCAAAAAGCGTCATTCACCCCATGCACATGACCCCATGCACATGACCCCATGCACATGGGAAGTGAGTACGCTTGACCCCTCTGTGACATGGCCTATTACCCATGACCCCATGCCCCATGACCCCAAGCCCCATGACCCCATGCCCCATGCCCCATGGCCCATGGCCCATGCCCCATGCCCCATGGCCCATGCCCCATGCCCCATGCCCCATGGCCCATGGCCCATAACCCTTGACCCATGTCCACGTCCCATGTCCCATGACCCATCTACGCCCCAGCTTCCATGACCTGTGACCCAGGATCCACAACGCACGTGAAACAAGTAAATTTTCGAGACGCCCCTAACAACATGGACCCACAACGCACATTCCCCCCTGTTCTCCCTTGTGATCTCCATGCTACTACCGAATGTAATTTCTCAAACACGAGTTTGTTAAGCTGACTCAAGCGACTTTTGAGGTGCCTCAAATGCCGCACTCCATGCTGCTATCTAATGTCTCACACCATGTGTGTGTTAAGTTGACTCTAGCGACCTCTTTTCCCTTCACTCATGTTCCCCCTCCTCATCTTGACACCTCCTCGTGCATTCCAGGTGGCATGTACCAGCAGCAGCCACATCAGCATGCCAACGTGGCACCACAGCAGCAGCAGCAGCAGCAGCAGCAGCAACCAGCAGCCTTCCAATCACCTCCGTCCGTCTGTCAGCAATTCGCCCTTGCTGACCTGGCGCGGGCCACCAGTGACTGGGCAGAGAGCAACCGGATTGGCAGCGGCAGCTTTGGTGACGTGTACAGGGCTGTCAGTCCCTTCGACCCCTCTGTGCTGTGGGCCGTGAAGAGGGCTCGAGTCCTCACCAAGGACTTTCAACGAGAGGTGTGTTTACTACCTTGGGTGACCACACTGCACCCAGCAGCACCGTACATACACCCAGCAGCACCTCGTACACACCTAGCAGCACCTCATATGCACCCAGCAGCACCACATGCGCCCATTGTCAAGGGTGTCAGCCCCTTCGGCCCCTCTGTGCTGTGGGCCATGAAAAGGGCTCCCGGTCTTGCCAAGGACTCTCAACGAGAGGTGAGTGCACTGCACCCAGCAACACCGCACCCAGCGGCACGTGTATGCACCCGCAGCACTGTAGCTCGGGTTCTCATCTCACCAAGACCTTTCAGAGAGAGGTGAGCGCACTGTATCCTGCAGCACCCCTGCTGCTGAGTTCCTGTGTCTCTCAAACGGTCCTTTGTAAAATAACAGTGTGTCACTCCCTCTCTTTCCCCTATTCCGCACTCCCACAATCCTCCTACTTATCCCTCCCTCCTTACTCCAGGTGGCAGCCATGGCGACAAAGCACCATCCCAACCTCCTTCGCCTGCTGGGCTACTGCGTACACATGAACCCAGCAGCACCGCACTGCACCCCTGCTCCCCTTCCTCCGCTTCCTCCCTCTTTTACTCCAGGTGGCAGCCATGGTAACAAAGCACCATCCCAACCTCGTCCGCCTGCTGGGCTACTGCATCGACATGCACCCACCAGCACCGCACTCCACCCAGGGCGATCTGAGCATGGAGCAGATAGTGGTGTACGAGTTCATGGGTCGTGGGGACTTGGACCGGTGGGTGGGGGAGGGGGCGGCACAGCCGCTGCCGGTGGCGCAGCGCGTGGCGGTGCTCATCGGGGCGGCCCACGGGATCGAGTATCTGCACAGCTTTGGCATCGTGCACCGCGACATCAAGCCCGCCAACATCCTGCTCGATGACAAGCTCGAGGTGAGCCCCTTCGGCCTCTGTGGATACCACATTTTCCTATCGCTATACGCACCACTCTATGCCCTCGACAGGGGGCATCGTGCACCGCGACATCAAGCCCACCAACATCCTCCTCCACGGCAAGTTCGAGGTGAGCCGCATCCTTGCAGGGCAGCCCCTGCTGTCTGTCTCTCTGCCATTTCTCTCTTGTCATAAGCGCCGCATCCTGGTCTCTTTAACTTCTCTGTGCTTATGAGCGCCTCTCTCTCCCCTCACCGGGGGGCATCGACATGCACCCAGCAGCACCGCACTCCACCCAGGGCGACCTAGACTCAAACCCGCCAACGTCCATCCTCCTTGAGTCCAAGATCGAGGTTAGCTTCTGACTTGCTGCCGTTCGAGGCAACTTTCCTTGTGGTTACCGCCCTCCCCATAGCACCTCTCCCCATAGCACCTCTCCCCATAGCACCTCTCCCCACGGCAAGCACCTTTCCTTGCAAGATACATGTGTGCCCTGACCTGAATGCACTTTCCACCCTAAACCCCACCAGGCCAAGGTGTCTTGCCCTTGCCTCTTCTCCCCTCCCTGAAATTGCCTCGAAACCCCTTTCTCTGCATGTCCCTCCCTTAACCCCGCCTGGCCAAGGTGGCAGACTTTGGGTTACTGCCTCATGTTCCTTGCCCTCCCACCTCCCACGCTTAACCCCGCCAGGCCAAGGTGGCAGACTTTGGGTTGCTGAGGCAGAACGAGGGCACAACGGTGGGGGACACTCGCATCATGGGCACACCCGGCTATGTGGACCCCGCTTACTTCAAATCCAACAAGGCCACCCCCATGGCCGATGTGTACAGGTGCAGTGCGGTACATCAGTGTATTGAGCGGTGCAGTGTGGTGCAAACCGGTATTGTGTTGTAAGTGGGTGCGTGGGAGGGAGTGATGGGCACACCGGGCTACGTGGACCCTGCCTATTCAAGTCCAACAAGCCCCCCATGGCTGATGTTCACAGGTCACAGAGCGATGGAGTGGGGTACAGACCAGTGCTGAGCGTTACAGAGTGGCAGAAAGAGGTACAGAATGGTAGAAAGTGGTATTGAGCGAATGGCACCTCCCAGCTTTGGCATCTTCATCCTGACCACTTTTTCCAGCCGCAAAGCACTCAGGGGAGGTTTTTTAGCTGTCCTACCGCCCTCCACTCCATCTCATACCTCCCCACTCCTCATCTTTGGCATCCTCATTCTGACCACTCTGTCCGGCCGCAAGGCAGTTAATGGGAAAGTCTTTTGAGTCGACTGAACTACTGCTCTCCACTACTTTCCCTACCTTCCCACCCTGTCCACTTTCCTTCCCCTTCCATACCTCCCCAATCTCCAGATTTGGAATCCTCATTCTCACCACAACATCGGGCAACAATGCTCCCAAGGGAGATGGTGTTTTTAGCTGACCGTACCGCTCTCCACTCCTTTCCATGCCTCCCCATCCCCCAGATTTGGCATCCTCATTCTGGCCACAATATCTGGCAACAATGCTCCCAGGGCGGATGGTTTTCGGGCTGACCCTACTGCTCTCCACTCCTTTCCATACCTCCCCACCCCCTCAGCTTTGGCATCCTCATTCTGACCACACTGTCCGGCCAGAACGCTCTCAAGGCGGATGAGAACGGCAACAACTTTAACATCAGGAAATGGGTGAGTCGATGTTCTCCGCTTGGGAAAATGAGTTGACCATTTTAGCAAGGGGAAATAAGTGAATTGACCATTTCAGCAAGGGGAAATATGTGAATTGACCATTTCAGCAAGGGGAAATATGTGAATTGACCAATTCAGCAAGGGGAAATAAATGGGTTGACCATTTCAGAAAGGGGAAATTGGTGTTTTGGCTTCCATACGTCTGGAAATCTGTGAGTTGGCCTTTGTAATACTTGGGATGGTTGTGGAAAATTCCTCATTTATATATTTCAACGTCAACAAACGGGTGAGATGACATTTTTATGTCAAGAAATGGGAATATGAGGGGGTTTGGTGTGTCTGCTCCTTGCAAAATACTACTTCCATGCGAAGCAGCTACCATTCAACCTCTGTGCTTCCACCATTGGTACTGTATTTGTTTATCGAATTGTCAATCTCCGTATTGAGTGCAACCCCCATGTGAACCATCCCCATCTAGGCGGAGACATTAGTTGCGGCCGGCAAAGCGGAGGAACTGAAGGATCCACGATTAGATGCTCCCGCAGATCTGATTCTGCGGATGGCGCAGCTGGCGCTGCGCTGCACGGCCATGCCGACCGTGTCTCGTCCTGACATGATCCAGGTGGTATCTGAGCTCACGACGCTCAGGAAGGAATTTATGGGGAAGGTGTCATCTAGGATGGCTGAGAGGATTGACGAGGAGGTGGAGTCCCAAAGAGTTGGAAATTTTAGTGCGGAAATAGAGATGATTGAAAAGCTTGCGTTCCAGGATAGCACCAGTGCAATGAGCATTCGCTGAGAGGGGTGGAGTGAGGCAATTTTTCAATGGCTATGCACTCTGCTGTTCTGGTCATGAATTTACTTTCTGTGAGCATTCCGAGGGACTGAGGGTGTTAAGAACCTAAGGCAATCATGAATTAGGTGAAGGGTAGGGTACAAGACTAGGGTGTCGAGGAACTTTGTGTACCCCCTAGTGCTAACCCCCATACAGCCTAGCTAACCTAAACAGGTATATATATATAATTTGACACACCCCCATAGGCGAAATGGGGGATAGCCAGGGCAAGCAACGGTCACAAGACCAGTCAAAAGAAGAAACAAAACACAGCTCAGGGTGGATCACAACGTCACCACGCAGTCTGAGCACAAGCAAAGGCCACAAGGCCAGTTCACATGCAGAGATATATATGTAACAACAACAGCACAGTGATCTCTACCTACTAGAGCAAGCATGCAGGTATATATATAGATCACAGTACAAACAAAGCCTACAGCAAGTGAGGAAAAGTGGGCACAAGCCCCAGCATAGTGCAAAAGCGCTGATGATCACCAGGCTGAAGTGCCTTGGTGAATATATCAGCGGTGTTGGCCTGAGTGGCCACGTAACGCAGACGAAGCTGACCGCGCTGCTGCAGCTCTCGAGCCAGGAAGTAACGGAGAGCGATGTGCTTCGTTCTGTGCTCCAGTCTGTGCTCCTCACACAAGGCAATGGCAGCCTTGTTGTCGACGTACAGCACTGGAGGAGCACTAGGCCGCTCTCCCAAGTCAGTCAGCAGGTAGGTCAGCCAGCGTAGCTCCTGTGCAGCCATGGCTGTGGCGTAGATCTCAGCCTCACAACTGGAGCTGAGAACTGAAGACGAGCGTGTAGAACGCCAAGAAACTGAACCAGAGCCAAGGCTGAAGGTGTAACCCTGTGACGACCGCTGAGTAGCCTGGTTGTCAACCCAAGAAGCGTCTGAGTGCCCAGTGAGAACAACTGAGCGCCTCCCTCCAAGCACGAGCCCCATGCCTGACGTACTGCACAAGTAACGCAGTACCCTCTTAGCAGCATCCATGTGCACCTTTCGGTGCCGACCAGGAGCCACGTAGCGAGCCAGAAGGCCAAGAGGGTACGCGAGGTCAGGACGAGTGCAAGTCATCAGGTACATGAGGCAGCCAACTAACTCTGGGTAAGGACCACTCGGCTCTACGGACTCGTCCGAAGGTGGAGCTGAGAGCGAGTGACCTGTAGCCAGAGGAGTGGCCTGTGCCGAGGACCAGGTGAAGCCGAAGCGCTGAAGGACCTTCTGCACCATGTGTGATTGAGTCAGTGTGATGGTGCGGCGTGCTCTGTCCCGGGTGATCCGCAAGCCAAGATAGCTTGTCAGCTCACCCAGGTCTGTGCACGTGTGTCTCTTCTGCAGCTCCGACTTCACGTGGGCAAGAGCCTCAGTGTCAGCAGTGGCAAAGACCAAGTCGTCGACGTACACGAGGATGTAGAACGGCGGCAGCGAAGTGTCGGTGCGCAGAAACAGCGACGGGTCAGCAGTCGACGGGGCAAACCCAAGAGCCGCAAGAGTCGTCCTCAGTGTGTCGTGCCACTCACGTGGCGCCTGGCGGAGACCGTAGACTGGCCGTCGGAGGCTCCACTGGGTACCAGGAGGGAACGATCCAGTGAAGCCAGGTGGACGGCGCAGCCAGATCTCCTCGTGCAGGCTGCCCTGCAAGAAAGCTGTGCTGAAGTCAAGAGAGTGAAGCTCGTAGTCACGCTGAGCGGCAACGTGTAGCAGCACCCGAAGAGTAGTCATCTTCGGGGTGGGGGAGAAGGTCTGGAAGAAGTCAACTCCCTCTCGCTGACTGAAGCCTCGAGCAACGTAACGAGCCTTGAAGACCGGTGGAGAACCTGGCGGCCGCTTCACCCTGAAAATCCACATGCCACTGACGATGTTCGCCCCAGGAGGGGGAACCTCGTCCACGTACATGCCTGTGGACTTCCAGGATGCCATCTCTGCGTCCATGGCTGTCTACCACTGAGAGGAGTAGGGACCCTCGATCGCCTCAGCGTACGATCGTGGAGTCGGGATGTCTGGTGCATCCGGGTCTCCCTCAGGGGCAAGCAGCATGGACACGAGATGAGGCGCAGCGGCTGCAAGACACTCAAGGTCCTCCTGCCTGTCCTCAAGGACGTCCGTGCCAAGAGCACACTCACCCCCGACGGACGGAGGACAGACAGACTCAGACTCAGCAACAAGACGAGCGGCGTAGTCTAGACGACAGTGAGCAGCAAAGTCGACAAGCTCAGCGACCAAGGCAGACGCACCAGCAGACTCAAACGACGGGTCGGCGACAACAGTGGCTAGCAGACGCGTGACAGTAGGGTGCTCAGCACGAAACCGGTCAGACTCAGGGTCAGCAACGACAGGTAGAGAGGACGCAGGCGGAGACGGCAGGGGAACACGTGGCGGCGGAGAGGAAGGACGACGGACGACAAGGGAAGGGCCGGGGACAGCCGGCTGACGCTGACGAGGAACCCGACGACCGGAACGACCAGGACGCGACGCAGGCTCACGACGCTCAGCAAGGCCCCCGGTCTGCTCAGCGTAAGGAGAAGGAGCAGGCAGAGGTGAGCCAGGCTGTAACGGAAGACCAGTAGACGACGGGAGGCTAAGAACCTGGCGAAGCACGGAGCTAGGCGGGGGCAGAGACGACGGAGACGGTGGAGCAAAGAACAGGCGCGGCTGTGCAGTGCCTCCAGCACCAGCAGCTCCAGCACCCTCAGCACCGCCAGCACCTCCAGCAGCTCCAGCACCACCAGCACCCTCAGCAGCTCCAGCACCCCCAGCAGCTCCAGCTCCTCCAGCAGCTCCAGTACCCTCAGCAGCCCCAGCACCTCCAGCAGCTCCAGAACCCTCAGCACCAGCCCAACCTGGTGCAGCACCCCCAGAACCGGCACCTCCAGTCCCAGGGTCTCCAACCGCTGTGCCACCAGCAGCAGCACCCTCAGACACACCACCGTCAGCCCCAGCAACTCCAGCACTCCCAGTACGAGCACCTCCGGGACCAGCGACACTAACACCTCCAGCAGGCAAAGGACCAGCACCACTCTCAGCTCCAGTGACGCCAGCAGAAGAACCCCCAGCAGTAGAACCCTGAGGTGCAGAAGCGCGACGCTGACGGCGACCGTACCAGTCGTGCAGCTGCTGGGAGGTGAGAGGCACACGCGGACGAAGACGGCTACTCCAAGGAGACCGCGGAACA